AGGGGATTTTTTCTCTATACAGACAGCTGGTAGACGCATCCTACAGGGTGTACCCTTACCTGCTTTATCCATGATATCCCCTCACATCCAGGCCTCCCGCCTGTCTCCCACTGTGGTTTCTGATGTCAGCCTCTTTCACACTGGTTTATAGCAGATCACATGACGCATGCACTTAGTGATACCTATCTCAGTAAAAATTGGTATCACTGGAATTCTGGGGATTCTCTATTTAAACTGGTTCTATTGGAGCTATGATACCAGTTCATTCTTACTACATCATCGGTGCTGTTACTAGTTGTTCTCTGACCTATCATGGCTTTTATTGTCCATTTTGCTTTCCTTTGATGTTCATAATGGGACACTGTAGTCACTGTAACTAGTTCATCTCATTGAAGTGGTTATAGTGTCTGCAGTCCTATGGCACGGTCTCTCCATTCAATGTTGAAACTTTTTCAAGCAGTTTAACACAGAATGAAGGTCTATGTCTTCCCATGTCTAAGCTCCCCCGGAGATATGGATAAGGAAAAAAATTACACACTTCCTTCTAACCTTGCCAAATCATACCAGCAATGGGCACGGTGATAGGCTGCAAGCAGTGATAGGCAGCAAGCAAACAGTTAGTTCTTGAATTTCATGTGTTGGAAGCAGGAAGAATGGACAAATGAAAAGATTTAAGTGATTTTGAAAAGGTCCAAATAGTAATGGCTAGATGAGTGAGTCAGAACATCTCCAAAAAGGCAAGTCTTGTGGGGTGTTTCTGGTATTCAGTGGTTACTTCCTACCAAACGTGGTGCAATGAAGATCATGGGTGCCCAAGGCTCGTTGATGCATTGCAGTGAAGGCAAGGCCGTCTGGTCCGACCACACAGCTCAAATTACTGTAGCTCAAATTGCTGATAAACATAATGCTGGCATTGTAGGAAGGTGTCAAAACACATAGTGCACCACAGTTTGCTGCATATGGGGCTGTGTAGCCGCTGTCTAATTAGAGAGCCACGATGACCCCTGTCCACCATTGAATGTTTCTGCAATGGAGATGTGAGCATCAGAACTAGACCATGGAGCAATGGAAGAATACTGTCTGTTCTGATGAATCACATTTTGTATTAGATCAGATAGATGGCCAGGTGCGTGTGCATCATTGACCTGGGAAGAGATGGCAGCAGGATGCACTGTGGGAAATAGGCAGGATAGCGGAGGCAGTGTTATGCTCTGGGCAATGTTCTACTGTGAAACCACAAGTCCTAGCATTTATGTGGATGTTACTTTGACACGTACCACCCGACTAGAGATTGTTGCAGACCACATACACCTCTTCATGGCAATGGTGTTACCTGATACATCATGCCACACTACATTAACTGTTCAAGAATGGTTTGAGGAACATGACAAAGAGTTCAAGGAGTTGCCTTGGCTTCCAAATTCAACAGATCCCCAGTCCGACCAGGGCTGGATTGGGGATACGAAGCAGCACTGAAAAAAAATATATTCCAGCCCCACAAATCATTGTGCTATGTAGTGTGTGTGTGTGTGTATGTATATGTGTGTGTATATATATATATATATATATATATATATATATATTCCTTTTTCTAATTCAAAATATTAGTACTTTAAGGGTGATTAAATTATACAGTAAAGCATACTAACATGCAGACACAGACAATCTTACTGATGTACACAAATAGGCTCATTGACAGACAATCTCAATGACACTCACAGACAAGGTTACTGGTACACACACAAATTTAGTACAGACAAACTCTGATACACACACAAGCTTACTACAGACAAGCTCACTGTCACACACACACACGCTCACTACAGACAAGCTCACGGATGCGCACACACTCTCCCTACAGACATGCCCATTGAGAAACAGATTCACTACAGACAAGCTCACTGACACACATATGGTCACTATAGACAAGCTCACGATCACACACTTGCTTTCTACAGACAAGCTCACTGCACACCCATGCTCCCTACAGACAGGCTCAGACACACCCATGCTCCCTACAGACAAGCTCACTAACACACACACACATGAATCCTACAGACAAGCACACTGACACACATACAAGCTCCCTCACTAACAGGCACACGCACACACACACACGCACACACACAGAAGCTCCCTCTTGCAATAAGCCTGACCAAAGGTTCTGATTTGACTTGTTCGATTTTTACAACTGGAGGTATCTACCATACAATAAACCATAAAAGAGGAGATTACTTTCGTAATATTACTCACTAACAGCTAGTCTCTTGGGAGGTGTATATTCACATGTGCCCAGCTTTAATGATGCCAATCCCCACAAGGGCTTGAATGTATTAATCTCACAGAGTTTGTGCCAAGAATGGTACTTCAGCCTTGTAGAATGAGTAAACAATTGTGAAATTCCACTTAGAGAATCAGCAAGATTTAAATATATAAATAAGTAAACAGACATTTGGTAGCAAGTCATAAAAACACAATGTACAATCCTACAGCAAAATGCTCTCATTGTTACACTGTTTATTAGTTTCAACTCTTCCGCTCCAAGTTGCTATGTACAAAGCTGATCTCCACTAAATAAATGCATTCTTTTTATTAGTACTTGCTATGCATGAATACCACTAGACCAAATTAACAGAAGCAAAGATTGATACAGATCTAGTTATACATAGGCAGATAGGCAGACTAACCTACAGATGGAGGGAAGAACAGACAGTGAGAGGACAGTGAAGGGACACTAAATATGAAAGCAGGGGTATATGAGTATGGAGGGACACTATGTATGACAGTGGGGGGCAAATGAATATGGAGGGACACTGTGTATCACAGTAAGGGTATTAGAGTACAGGGGAACACTATGTATGAAAGGAGTGGCATATGAGAATGGAGGAACACTATGTATGAAAGGAGTGGTATATGAGTATGGAGGAACACTATGTATGAAAGGAGTGGCATATGAGAATGGAGGAACACTGTGTATGAAAGGAGTGGTATATGAGTATGGAGGAACACTGTGTATGAAAGGAGTGGTGTATGAGTATGGAGGAACACTGTGTATGAAAGGAGTGGTATATGAGTACGGAGGAACACTGTGTATGAAAGGAGTGGCATATGAGAATGGAGGAACACTGTGTATGAAAGGAATGGTATATGAGTGTGGAGGAATACTGTGTATGAAAGGAGTGGTATATATTAGAACGGAGGAACACTGTGTATGAAAGGAGTGGTATATGAGTACGGAGGAACACTATGTATGAAAGGAGTGGCATATGAGACTGGAGGAACACTGTGTATGAAAGGAGTGGTATATGAGTACAGAGGAACACTGTGTATGAAAGGAGTGGCATATGAGAATGGAGGAACACTGTGTATGAAAGGAGTGGTATATGAGTGTGGAGGAATACTGTGTATGAAAGGAGGGGTATATGAGAATGGAGGAACACTGTGTATGAAAGGAGTGGTATATGAGTACGGAGGGACACTGTGTATGAAAGGAGTGGAATATGAGAATGGAGGAACACTGTGTATGAAAGGAGTGGTATATGAGTACGGAGGAATACTGTGTATGAAAGGAGGGGTATATGAGTACAGAGAGGCACTGTGTATAAAAGAAGTGGTATATGAGTACGGAGGAACACTGTCTATGAAAGGAGTTGTATATGAGTACGGAGGGACACTGTGTATGAAAGGAGTGGTATATGAGTACGGAGGGACACTGTGTATCACAGCAGGGATATTAGAGTACAGAGGAACACTGTCTATGAAAGGAGTGGTATATGAGAACGGAGGGACACTGTGTATGAAAGGAGTGGTATATGAGTAAGGAGGAACACTGTGTATGAAAGGAATGGTATATGAGTACGAAGAAACACTGTATATGAAAGGAGGGGTATGTCAGTACAGAGAGGCACTGTGTATGAAAGGAGTGGTATATGAGTACGGAGGAACACTGTGCATGAATGGAGTGGTATATTAGTAAGGTGGAACACTGTGTATGAAAGGAGTGGTATATGAGTAAAGAGGAACACTGTGTATGAAACGAGTGGTATATGAGTATGGAGGTTCACTGTGTACAAAAGCAGGAGTATATGAGTATAGAGGGTCACTGTGTGTGAATGAAAGGGTATATGAGTACAGAGGGACGCTGTGTATTAAAGAATTGGTATATGAGAATAGAGAGACACTATATATAAAAGGAGTGGTATATGAGTACAGAGAGACACTGTATATGAAAGGAGGGGTATATGAGCACGGAGGGGCACTCCGTATGAAAGGAGAAGTATATGAGTACGGAGGGACACTGTTTATGAAAGGAGTAGTATATGAGTACGGAGGGACACTGTGTATGAAAGGAGTAGTATATAAGTACGGAGGGACACTGTGTATGAAAGGAGTAGTATATGAGTACAGAGGGACACTGTGTATGAAAGGAGTAGTATATGAGTACGAAGGGACACTGTGTATGAAAGGAGTAGTATATGAGTACGGAGGGACACTGTGTATGAACTGTGTATGAAAGGAGAGGTATATGAGTATGGAGGGACATTGTGTATGAAAGGAGGGGTATATGAGCACGGAGGGACACTCTGTATGGAAGGAGTAGTTGTAGCGGAGAGGTAGTATAATCCACAGTATCTCCGCTGGGTAACAGAAACAGCATAAGATAATCGAGGTAAATGAATACAGCATACAATAATCCCGGTAGCTTTGTAAGAATCCTTCCCTCCCAAGAACTAGACGACACATAGGCTGGGAGTCAACTGAGGTTTTATTCACAGGTCACAGTATTTATGCAAGTCCCCATGCAAGGGGTTTCCCTACTGGCATTGCAGGGGTTATACAGTAGGGGACTACATGGGGGACTTAACAACCTGGACATTTCTCCCATCATGCACTACTGGACGAGAGGGATACTCCCACTAGAATATACAGTTAAGTGGATTATCCCTCCGTGCAGCAGAACCAATATTTCACATTAAAATCTATAACTTTCAAATTATTCACTCTATTTAAACAAATGGACGTTCGGTAGATAGCTGGGATCTCAGCGTACAGTTCGTGAGAATACCGCTCAGATCCCAGCATAACTAACCGAAGGCCACGCGAAACACACATTATATTCAAGTTACATTCAAAGTACCGCTTGACATTAGGGAAACAAACTACCGAACGCCCGGGGCTCCCGAACGGCCTGGAAGTCCAGTGGTATTCGTGCCGTCGAGTAGCCGATTTTAGTTCCAGGCGCTCGACGACCAAATACCGCTGAGCTAACAAAGGACCCAAGATGGCCGACCGCCGTGTGGTCGGTAGCCGAACGACGGCCACCTAAGAAAGCACTTAACTACCGATTGCAACAATGTTGCAATCGTTAATGGGCGCCACACGACCTCCTGTGTGTGGTCGCCCATTCGGTAGTTTATTCGTTTCACGAACAGTGTTGAAATTCATGCCGCCAGCATACGAATGCTCTTGTTCGCCTGAAATGCAGATACATGAATACACTTGGTTCTAACAACCTTAAAGCTATAGAAACACATTTATACAAATACAGTCTTAAGTGGCTAGTTTTGCCACAGTAGTATATGAGTACGGAGAGACACTTTGTATGAAAGGAGTAGTATATAAATACGGAGGGACACTGTGTATGAAAGTAGTGGTATATGAGTACAGAGGAACACTGTGTATGAAAGGAAGGGTATATGAGTATGGAGGGACACTTTGTATGAAATGAGTAGTATATAAATACGGAGGGACACTGTGTATGAAAGTAGTGGTATATGAGTACAGAGGACTGTGTATGAAAGGAAGGGTATATGAGTATGGAGGGACACTTTGTATGCAAGGAGGGGTGTATGAGTACGGAGGAACACTGTGGATGAAAGGAGTAGTATAGGAGTACGGAGGGACACTGTGAATCTGAAGGGGAAGGAGTCACCATGCCTGCTGGTCCCACTGATTTTCATTGCGATTGCTGCACTTTAAGTAATTTGGAACACTTTGATAACTCTCCCCAATTGGGAGCCAATAGATGCTGGTGGTACATCCCACAGCTGATACATAGATTCATTGCATTCATTACGTTACCATATGATCAGCTACGAGATTTTTTCAGCTTATTTACGCTTTTCTATCATCAGCTCTGAGCCCATCATATACACATCATATACCTGCCACGCAAGTTTGATACCACAATTATTATTATTATTATCATCATTTATATAGTACCAACAGATTCCGTAGTGCTTTACAATATTATTAGAGGGGGGATTTAACTATAAATAGGACAATTACAAAAAAACTTACAGAAACGATAGGTTGAAGAGGGCCCTGTTTAAACAAGCTTGCAGTCTATGAGAGGTGGGGTATAAAACACATTAGGACAGAAAAAAGCAGTCAAATTAGGTGGGAGTGAAGCAGAGCTGGAGGAGAGAGTAGAGTGCTGCCCTTTAGGAGAGAGTAAGAGACAGGTATGTGAGGTAGAGGTTAGTCTGGGAGGCCATAAGTTTTCCTAAAGAAATGTGTTTTAAAGGACCACTCTAGGCACCCAGACCACTTCAGCTTAATGAAGTGGTCTGGGTGCCAGGTCCTTCTAGGGTTAACCCATTTTTTCATAAATATAGCAGTTTCAGAGAAACTGCTATAATTATGAATGGGTTAAGCCTTCCCCCTAATCCTCTAGTAGCTGTCTCATTGACAGCCACTAGAGGCGCTTGCGTGCTTCTCACTGTGATTTTCACAGTGAGAGCACGCCAGCATCCATAGGAAAGCATTGTAAATGCTTTCCTATGAGACTTCGGCTGAATCGCGCGCCTCTTGCCGCGCGTGCGCATTCAACCGGCGGGGCACGGAGGCGGAGGAGGAGGAGAGCTCTCCGCCCAGCGCTGGAAAAAGGTAAGTTTTTAACCCTTTCCCCCTTCCAGAGCCGGGCGGGAGGGGGTCCCTGAGGGTGGGGGCACCCTCAGGGCACTATAGTGCCAGGAAAACGAGTATGTTTTCCTGGCACTATAGTGGTCCTTTAAGGCACTTCTTAAATGATTAAAGACTAGTCCAGGGATGGCACATGGCAGCAAGGATCCCCCCTCCCTACATAAGGTAAGAAGGGAGGGGGATATTTACTAATCTGCTCCCACCTCCACAATCCCTCCAAACATACAGCACCCACACAGACACAGCACCTATACACATACAGCACCCTCACACAAACAGGACCCTAACAAACACAGCACCCTCACAGACTACCAGCACCCTCACACACAAACAGCACCGTCACACACAGCACACTAACAGCACCCTCACAAACACCCTCACCCACATAGCACACTACCAGCACCCTCACACACCCATGACACTAACAGCACCATTACACCACCCTCACACAATACACTAACAGCACACACACACACAGCAGTGTATGTGTGTCTGTGTGTCTGTGTGTGTGTGTGTGTGTGTGTGTGTGTGTATATATATATATATACACACACATACATATACATGTGGCGTGTGTTTGTGCTTTAGGGTGCACACCATAATGCAATAAGCTGCGCACGCCTATGTGGATCAGTGAAGAGATATAAGAGGGGCTAAGATTATTCAGTGATTTATAGGTATGGGTTGGCACATTTCATTGACTCCTACAGTATACAGGAAGCCAATGTAAGGACTGACAAAGGGGTGAGGTGTGAGAGGACCGACTAGAGAGGAAAATCAGTCTGGCAGCAGCATTAATTACAGACTGTAGTGGGGCAATACGGCTATTGGGAAGACCAATTAGAAGAGAGTTACAATAGTCCATGCGAGAAATTACTAGAGCATGGACAAGCTCTTTAGTAGCATCTTGTGTAAGAAAGGGGCGGATTCGGGCGATGTTTTTAAGGTGGAATTGGCATGATTTGACAACAGACCGGATGTGAGGCTCAAAGGTGAGGCCAGAATCAAAAGTAACACCAAGACAACGTGCTTGTAAGGATGGACTGATATGGGTACCACCAATCTGAAGGGAGAGTGAGAGAGGAGGATTAATATTAGGAGGAGGAAAGACAAGAAGTTCTGTTTTGGAAAGATTCAGCAATGACAACAACACAGACACAACACAGGTTATGCAAACAGAAGCTTTTATTCTAATGTTTCAACTCATTTAGGATCTTACTCTATGTGTGTCTAACTATCCTTATTGTTATTTTTTGACAAAGAGGCAAATTATAAACAATATTTCACATAAGCCAGCAAATGTATAAATCGAATGTTATAGACAGTGTATAAATGTATTTGGCATTGAGGAAAAAAAAAAATACAATTTTGACACAAGCAATCGGTGTGTGCCCAAGAATCTGTACGTTCCCAATACCAAGAAAACATCATCGGATGCCTGGAGTGCATTGTGTTGTGCTTTCTCAACAGACACCCGTATGTAAAATTCAAGTCACTAATAACATGTACTCTATACATTTACTGGTTATAACATCTAACACAATGTATTTATTCAGCATTTCTTTTACATTCCCCTTTTAGGGTGCTTTAAAAAAAATTAGTAATTATTTACAACCCAGGAGTTAAAAATTAATAGAAAATAAAACCATATACATAAAGGACGAAAGGAAGGGAATGCTTCATTCTTACGTTAGTAATAATTTTAAACAGTACTTACTTATTATTACAATCAGTAAAAAAGTATACAGCGTACCTAGTTAGTCACATATTTTAGGGAAGGTAGACCCATTTTAGGTGTCTCTCATAATTTGTGATGTAATAGGAGAGTTTATAAGAGTCTGGTCCTGTTTAAAATATTAAATGTAAAACCGTTTCTTGACGTGCTCCCTTTCTGTATAATTTCACAGATGTACAATACAAATATCTTTAGTTAAATAATCCACAGAAAATGGTATGGTCCAATAAAACCAGTACTGCCCTACCATGAAGGTGGAGCACAAGGGTGATGAGTACAACCTGGCACTCACTGCAGCTATTTCAGGCTTCGGTTCCCAGCATGTTCAGCAGCAGAGGAGAATTGTCTCAGTAAGTAAATAAGACAGGAGACAATGAAGGGATTTGCCCATTCAAATGGCACCAAACCTGTACGTTCCAGCTTGGTGCTCAGTTGGTCCCAAAGGCTTGTTTTGTACACATTGCCTTTTTCAAATAACAGATAGTTTTGTGTTGTTTTTAATGTACACGTGATAGGGGTCACTCCTTTTGTCCACTTTCTTTGACCGCGTGTACCCAAGTATTAAGCTGCCGACAGTCACAGCAAAGAGGAACATGACAAAAAGAATGAATATGTAGGAATTATCATTTTTTGTGTTGTTGATGGTTTTGTTGACGTGTTTGTCAGACTGGCAGGGTTGGCTGTTTAGAGTCTTGTTTAATGCCTGCAAAACACTGTTCAAATTTTCCAGCAATCTCTCCATTGGTGTCGGAGACTCCATGTCAACGAGGATTAAATAAATGGGCAATATCCTAGCATCAACATGAAGAAGCCTGTGAGCAAAATAACATGGGTTAATACTACAATTAACTACAACTGATCATAGAGCAGGGGGGGGGAGGCACTTTACACATAACCCTTCAAACTCCACATATCTTTTCCTAAAGTTTATAAAAACTCTTTCCTTAGTCCCAGATTTAAGAACTCAAAGCCTGAACCTGAAACAATTATAATTGAAACACATCATCTACCTCAATACTAAATATAACCTTTAATCCTCTTACACCCTTTGTAATGTAACTCTGACCATAAAGGAACACTCTGGGCACTAGAACAACTTTTTGGAGGCCGGTTTAAGGCCCATCAGGTAAAAAAGCACCTGGGGACCTCCTGGTACCATAACCACTTAATTTTGATTCATTTGTTGTGGTGCCTGTACCTTTAAGACCTCTCTAAACTTAACCCCTTCCCTTTAATCCTGACCACTTCTAACATTATTTTTAACCCCGCATGCATTTACACAGCTGCATACTCTAACTGTACTTACAGTTACCTTCAATGTCCAGTTAATATATTCATTAATAATATGCCTTTTTTGGGGTGGGGGGAGCTGGGATTGCCTTAGAATTCCGTGCCTACAGGTTCCTGACGTGTAAATCCGTCCCTGATTTCAGTGCGCCTTCGGCAGTTTTTAATCAGAAGGAGAATGTCTTGTGAGTAAATTGTCCATAACACCTATAGGCAAGTGACCAATGGAGTAACAGACCCGCTAGCCATCTATTTCCTAGTTTTTGGGTACATGTATTGTGTCAGAGTTGGATTCAGATTACAAGGCATTAACGGCTAAAATAAAGGAGCCTTTGATTTGGAATTGCCGTGTTCGTATTATTGAATGCCTTCAATGCCCCAATTGTTTTTGCAAACAATTAAGCAATTATTTGTTGTTATATATTAATGAAGAAGACAACCTAAAAAATGTTAAACAATAGACAAATGAGGAAACACAGCACCTCCCAAATTAAACTCACACCCTGCAGGCTTTGGGGAGTGGTGAGAACAATGAATTCCTTCAAGTACAGTTCGGCTCCTTGAGAATGGCTTGCTATTTTCATAACACATGCCATTAAAAGAGAATGGGTTTTTATATATTTGAAATTACAGGAAATCATATAAAACAGCCTGTACACTGGCAAGAATATAATCACATCGTTACTGACATACGTGCCCACTTCATAAATGTTAATAAACTTGTAGTAGATATCTGAGACAGTGTTAATGGGTTATTGCATACCCTTTATGACAGTTTTATTTTTTTATGATTAATGTCCTATTGGGTATTATTCTTTAGGTCCCCCCATGAATGCCCCCCAAAAAAAGCTAAACTCACCTGAAATCCAACACTGGACGAGGCTCTCGGTGCGGCTTTCCACTTCCCATCTGATATAATGGCAGCCATTGCAGGAACTTATCAAAGGCTTCTCACAGACAAGCCATTGATTGGTTTTATCTAGCTCGTAGCGCATGGGTTAAGGGGAGGGAGGAGGAGAAGGGATCGAGCGGGTGGTAATGGAAAGGTGGGGAGGGCTTTACTTTAGGGGAGAGGAGACAAACGCTTAAGAAGCTAATCACATCCGTTGCCAGCATACAGTGTGTATTGATGATGGACATAATTTTGCGCACAGAATTTATATTTGGCAGTCTGGACAGAGTTCTTGGCTACCAAAATTACAGGTCCCGGGGACTCCCGTGTGCCAGGGCTGTAGTTAGCCCCCGGTACGAAAGTGCAAATATATTTCTTTGTGCAGGATTTCAAGCAAAAAAACGCTGCACGTGTGTGTGTGTGTGTGTGTCAGCAAAGAAAAGACGTCTTCAAAAAGACTTGAAATTGAACTTTATCGCTGATCATTTGGTTCCTTATTTCTTGGATGTGAATAAGGAACTGACTCCAGTATGTTTTATAGAGAAAACATATTTATATTAAGTCATTGACCTCTTAGTGGAACGGTTTCATGCTCCGTCTGCCATACTTGTGAGAGCTAGCGGTATTAAGTAAATTCCTTAAAGTCTGCTAAGGGTTAGCGTATGTGAACCCTTTGCTTGCTGGTACCTGGAAGGATCAGCTATTCTCCTAAACACAGAAAGTAACAATGTGATTTGCTATTTCTCTTCGCACTTTGGGGTCATAACCAGGATCTATGTCACAATGGATTCTGCAATTTTATTTCCTGTTCTCACCAGCTGCACGTTTAGCAACAATTTTATTTCTCTATTCTATGAATGACCTATTACACAGAACATCCGGGGAAGAAGGAAAGATGCTACCTTATGTTTAGGGGACTGTGGCCATCAGTGTTCCTCATCCGCTGGTAAACGTAGGACACAAGCAAACTGTGGTGGCATTAGTGTGCTCTATATAAAATCCCATAATCTCAAACTGCTGATCATTCCAGAGAAAGAAAAAGGGGAGAATTTCCAAATGTAACTCTCTTGCTAGACAGTGGATAATACCCATGATGAGCTGGTGCAAAGGCCCCATGACTTATTGAACTTTAATTTTAGATTACTCTTTGACCCTGCCTTTGGATTGTCCCTGGCTTGTGTTTATGGACTTACATTAACCTGGACTCTGACCCTTGGCTTGCTGTGTCGCTCATGAACTTATGCCGCTTGGATTTTGGCAATGGACAAATTTCTGAACTACACTTGGATTAAACCTGTGCAACACACCTTGATCCCCTAGACCACATCCTGAACTTGCACTGTCTACTCCGTAACCCCCAGGCCTCTCCTCGCTATCCTTGGTTCTGTGGGATAGGGGGTGATAAGCGCAAGCATTAGTAACTGATTAGTTTTCCTAAATGTTGTGACATAGTTCGAAAAAAGGGCAGATATGATGATCCCCCATAACAGAATGGGATCCCCGTGACTCATACGCCAATAATTTACCCAATTCCCCCTCTTATTAATTATTATTATTTAGAATTACTTACAATTATTTGTGAATTCACTAAATCCTTTGTAATCTTAAAATAAACAAATAAAATATATTAATGTTTATTGTGTCTATTAAATACATATTCTCAAACATAAAAATCTGTATCTATGAAATTATAATTGTAAACTGAATAAATCTGTGAATAGGAGTGACCAGGGACACCAAATGTATTAACAAGAAGATAACTGTCAGAATTATAAAAGGCTGGTGTACTCAGTTACGCTTATTTTACTTTATTAACTCGAGAACAGAACGTACCTATTCCAGCAGAGTGATCGTAACTTCAGTTTAAGCACCATAACTATTTTGCACCGACTCTCAGCTCTGAGAGTGGTTTATAACTTTAACATTGTGTAAAAGCTCTGCAGCTGTAAGCTGGCACACCAGAGCTGTCATTTAAATAGCCAGAGTCTGTTATCAGTTTTGTTCATATCGTGTGTGCTATCTGCACATACTGCCCACACAGATTGAGCTGAGCCCTCTCTCCTAAACATTAAAGAAGTCTCTGTGTCATTTACAGTGGTGCTATGACTGCTATCACTTTACAGAGCTGTTCCACTAAACTGAGTAGTGGGTTTAAAGGACCACTCTAGGCACCCAGACCACTTCAGCTTAATGAAGTGGTCTTGGTGTCAGGTCCAGCTAGGATTAACCCTTTTTTTTATAAACATAGCAGTTTCAGAGAAACTGCTATGTTTATAAATAGGTTAATCCAGCCTCTAAAGCCTCTAGTGGCTGTCTCATTGACAGCCGTTAGAGGCGTTTGCGTGCTTCTCACTGTGAAAATCACAGTGAGAAGACGCCAGCGTCCATAGGAAAGCATTATGAATGCTTTCCTATGAGACCGGCTGAATGCGCGAGCAGCTCCTGCCGCGCATGCGCATTCAGCCGAAGAGGCGGAGAGGAGGAGGAGAGCTCCCCGCCCGGCGCTGGAAAAAAGGTAAGTTTAACCCCTTTCCTCGCCATCCAGCCTGGTGGGAGGGGGACCCTGAGGGTGGGGGCACCCTCAGAGCACTATAGTGCCAGGAAAACAAGTATGTTTTCCTGGCACTATAGTGGTCCTTTAAGGTTGGTGTATAAACTACTTATCCCATAAATGAGAGGCTCCTGCTGCGGATATGTACTGTGTAAATGTAATAAAATAGATCGTAAGGATATTTTGTTTGTTTACTATATTTTCTGTACAAAGCATAAAGATAGAGGGAGAAATATTTCATTATACTTTCCCTATAAGTTCATCATTTAACCCACGAGGAGCTGCAGGGAAACCTCAGGGATCATTGCATGGAGAAGTTCATGTTTTGATGCTGGGTTTACTACTATGTCTAAGGTATGTTTAGTGTGAAGTCTGGAGAGCTGCAGGGTTTACAGTAAAATTAAAGAGAATTACAGATTTACGCTCCTTAAACTGAGCCTTTGAATTTTGTGTTAAGCTGATGAAGGGCTGCTAACTTCAACTTCAAGTCTGTGCTTATCAAGGTTAGTCCTAATGTAGTGGTTGAACATAGAGCCTGTACCTCGAGACACAATAACAACTTAATTAAGGAAGAAGCCATTTGTGTTGTCTGGAAAGTTCCAAATAACACAGGCCGGTGAAGTATTGAGCCTGTGGAGAGCTGCTGTGTTCAGAGTTAAAGGACCACTATAGTGCCAGGAAAACATACTTGTTTTCCTGGCACTACAGTGCCCTGAGGGTGCCCCCACCCCGCCGGGCTGGAGGGCGAGGAAAGGGGTTAAACTTACCTTTATTCCAGCGCCGGGAGGAGAGCTCTCCTCCTCCTCTCTGCCTCCGATCCTCCTCTTTGGCTGAATTCGCATGCGCGGCAGGAGCTGCGCGCGCATTCAGCCAGTCTCATAGGAAAGCATTCATAATGCTTTCCTATGGACGCTGGCGTCTTCTCACTGTGATTTTCACAGTGAGAAGCACGCAAACGCCTCTAGCGGCTGTCAATGAGACAGCCACTAGAGACTTTAGAGGCTGGATTAAACCATTTATAAACATAGCAGTTTCTCTAAAACTGCTATGTTTATAAAAAAAAGGGTTAATCCTAGAGGGACCTGGCACCCAGACCACTTCATTAAGCTGAAGTGGTCTGGGTGCCTAGAGTGGTCCTTTAAACATGCAGAGAACTAGTGCCTTCAATGTTAAAGGGACATTAAAAAACGTTAGCTTAATGGAGTAGTTTTGGTGTACAGTATAGATCATGTCCCTGCAGTCTCACTGCTCACATTTCTGCCATTTAGGAGTTAAATAATTTTGCGCATGCAGCCCTTACACAGCCTTCCTAAACACTTCCTGTAAAGAGTCATCTAATGTTTACACTTCCTTTATTGCACTTTCTGTTTTTTTGGAATGTCTTATCTCCTGCTCTGTTAATAGCCTTCTAGACACCACAGGAGCCTCCTGTGTGTGATTAAAGTTAAATTTACAGAGCAGGAAATAACAAATTCTAAAGCACGTTAACATCTAATTGAATATGAAACCCTTTGTTTATGCAGGCTGTGTCAGTCACAGCCAGGGGAGGTGTGGCTAGGGCTGCTTGGGCATAAACAAAGTGATTTATCTCTTAAATGGCAAATAATTGAGCAGTGATAGTGCAGGGGAAAGATCTTTACACCAAAACTGCTTCATTAAGCTAAAGTTGTTTTGATTTCTATAGTGTCCCTTTAAGACTATTTTGCACTGTTCAGATAAATTTTCATGGAACCAGTCTCTTAGCGATTCCCCCTGCTATCCTGACTAATCATTGCAAGGAATAGGAATCTGCTGGGAATTAGAAGTCAGTTGCATTTCAGAAAAACAGGAATGTGCAAAGTTCTGTGTGAGGGATCACGTGGTCAATATTATTGGTTTTTAGTTAGATGGCTTCATTGCTAAATTCAAGCTTTAGTGAAGGTGACCCTCAAACATTGCTCAGCCACTGAAGCAATGACCACAAAGTGACACATTTGTACGATTCGGACCGCAGCTCTAGTCAATCATTACCAGCCTGCTTTTCCTTAGCTGAGAATATTGGGAAATGTAATTGTGACGGACCGCCTAACACCTCGACTGGGTACCTCCGCCAATTGCTGCTTCCTAGTGCTCACCGAGTACTCCAAGCACTCCATCAGACACCATCAGCACTGTAGACCCTTAGCCGCAGCAGCTTGGCTGGGGTTTCGCTGTCCTCCACCCACCCTGGACCCAAGTCAGGGATCCAGCTTTCAGTGGGTAGATCTCTCCTACTCCAGAGAGTATAGCAGGATAGCTCTTACAAGAGCTAGTGATATAGCCTGTATAGCCTTCCCCCACAGACATGAGATGAGGCTCTATGCTGGGGATTAGAGATGTCGCGAAACTGTTCGCGAACTTCTCACGAACAGTTCGCCGCATTTCGCCACGAACCGTTCGCAGCGAACTCCGGTCAGCTGACACATCCCGGCCAATCTCCAGCAGACCCTCCCTCCCAGACCCTCCCACCTCCTGGACAGCATCCATGTTGAAGCTGCCTTCAACATGGATGCTGTCCAGGAAGTAGAAGGGTCTGGGAGGGAGGGTCTGCTGGAGATTGGCCGGGATGTGTCAGCTGCCCGGAGTTCGCCACGAATGGTTCGTGGTGAACCGTTCGCGAGAAGTTCGCGGACGGTTCGCGACATCTCTACTGGGGATGAACTGGAACTGTTTTAATAGGAGTCACACACGGCCTTTTATGTGAATCCCCATGCAAGGGGTTTCCTGATAGAAATTTCAGGGGCATTCCCCCACTGGACCTGAGAGGAGACTACTGTAAAACACACTAACAATTACATTAACTCTCAGATCCAGGACATACATATTAAGTACACCCCAAAAACACATAATTAATAATTGAGTACCCTCTGTTCGTCACAGTAATCAACATCTTTGAGGTCAAGTGCGCCATAATTATAAGTAAGCCCAAACCCTAAGAGTCAAATATGACAAATGAATAGGGTGCTTAAAATGTAAAAAAAAAAAAAAATTTTACATTTATTTATTTAAAAAAAAAAAAAAGCCACACCTTTAAGAGTCATAACCACTCAAACTGTAAAAAAAGTTCACTGTGTCTTTAAGACAAAGCTATGTCAAAGCGTAAATTGCTTTGGAGTTAAATTGAATCTTACATATTTTTTTTAACATTTGCACTTTGAGAGTGCACTATACTTAGTTTTTGCACTTTATTAAAGGACTACTCTAGGCACCCAGACCACTTCAGCTTAATGAAGTGGTCTGGGTGCCAGGTCCAGCTAGGGTTAACCCATTTTTTTTTATAAACATAGCAGTTTCAGAGAAACTGCTATGTTTATGAATGGGTTAATCCAGCTCCAAATCCTCTAGTGGCTGTCTCATTGACAGCCACTAGGTGCGTCACTTTCTCACTGTGATTTTCACAGTGAGAGCACGCTCAGTCCATAGGAAAGCTTTGAGAATGCTTTCCTATATGCACGAATGCGCGAGGCTTGCCACGCGTCGCATTCAGCCGACGGGAGGAACGGAGGAGGATCGGAGGAGGAGAGCTCCCTGCCCAGCGCTGGAAAAAGGTAAGTTTTAACCCCTTTCCCCCTTCCAGAGCCAGGCGGGAGGGGGACCCTGAGGGTGGGGGCACCCTCAGGGCACTATAGTGCCAGGAAACCGAGTATGTTTTCCTGGCACTATAGTGGTCCTTTAAAGCATTTCACATTTGCACTTTGAATTTTTTTTTCACTGTGAAATATATATTTTTCATAAAGACATAGCATACTTATTTTCTTCTTTCAGCCCAAACCCTAACCCAATATAACCCTATCACCATGAACCCCCAAACCACCCTATCACCAAGAACCCCCAAATCCCCTGCAGAAATACAGTGAATGGATCTGTAATGACACTGGAGACACATCTCACTTAAACACATGGGGGCGTATTTATAAAGAGCAATTACATAGTTACATAGTTACAGTAGCTGAAAAGAGACTTGCTCCATCAAGTTCAGCCTTCCTCACATATGTTTTTGCTGTTGATCCAAAAGAAGGCAAAAAACCCAGTCTGTAGCACTTCCAATTTTGCAACAAACTAGGAAACATTTCCTTCTTGACCCGAAAATAGCAATTAGATGTCTCCTTGGATCAAGAAACTATTACCCCACTAATTAGAAATGTTATCTTTCTATTACAAAGCAAAATTCTAAAAAGTGTGCAGTCACCATAGTAACTGATGGAATGTTCCAGCCAGCTGCTCCACTTTTATAACTTGCTCCCGAAATTGCTCTTCATACATAATACCTGTATTAAAAATTGACTACTCCAAACAGGCTCTGCTTTGATTTTTTGATGCAGAATAATTAATGTATTGTCATCTGTTTAATCAATTACTAGATCTACTATAGTAAACTTGTAGAACCAAGTGATTAAATTATCCTGATTAACCCTTTACCTCTGTCTAGCCTGCACAGATGGGGTTGGTTTTGTCTTGAGTCGCTGGTGAAGGGGTTAAAGCTACAGATAAAGCCACATGTAAAGTAGAATAGAAATATAAAATAGTAATACTGATACGGTGTGCTTTTCGGGTTTGTACGTTTCATTTTCTGAACTGAAGCTAGGATTTTACAAATGCTGCTGTCCCGGACTCAATGTTTGCTGGATTTTAATATGCCTTTAATTGTTACTGTCCCTTTAACGTGCTGGTGCCAGGCTTTCATAGTTACAGTGTAACCATAAGCACTGATCGCCAGATCTCACAGTTTACTAAACAAAGGAGACACACAATACACAGATCCATTCTTTGTAATGTGAGTGTTTTGGTTTATTTTTCTGCGATAATAAAGCAGTGTTTGGAGGGTCACTGGAAATGTAACTTTAAAGTCTGTCCGAAGTAGCCTACCTTGAGTCCCTGTCAAAGGCGTTTAAACTATATCTTCAGCTGATGCTAAGATACCCCATCAGAGATATTAGGGATAATGCTCTGCACTCTGCCACAGACAATACTATGCACTCTGCCACAGACAAGACTCTGCACTCTGCCACAGACAATGTTCTGCATTCTGCCACAGGCAATGCTCTGCACTCTGCCACAGATAATACTCTGCACTCTGCCACAGGCAATTCTCTGCACTCTGCCACAGACAATACTATGCACTCTGCCACAGGCAATGCTCTGCACTCTGCCACAGGCAATGCTCTGCACTCTGCCACAGGCAATTCTCTGCACTCTGACACAGACAATGTCATGCACTCTGCCACAGACAATGTCATGCACTCTGCCACAGACAATACTCTGCAATCTGCCACAGACAATGTCATGCACTCTGCCACAGACAATACTCTGCAATCTGCCACAGACAATGCCATGCACTCTGCCACAGACAATACTCTGCAATCTGCCACAGACAATGCCATGCACTCTGCCACAGACAATGTTCTGCACTCTGCCACAGACAATGCCATGCACTCTGCCACAGACAATGTTCTGCACTCTGCCACATGCAATACTATGCACTCTGCCACAGACAATGCTCTGCACTCTGCCACATGCAATACTATGCACTCTGCCACAGACAATGCCATGCGCTCTGCCACAGACAATACTCTGCAATCTGCCACAGACAATGCCATGCACTCTGCCACAGACAATGCCATGCATTCTGCCACAGACAATACTATGCACTCTGCCACAGACAATGTTCTGCACTCTGCCACAGGCAATACTATGCACTCTGCCACAGACAATGTTCTGCACTCTGCCACAGGCAATACTATGTACTCTGCCACAGGCAATGCCATGCACTCTGCCACAGACAATGCCATGCACTGTGCCACAGACAGTACTATGCACTCTGCCACAGACAATGTTCTGCACTCTGCCACAGACAATGCTCTGCACTCATTCCCCGGTGATGCTCTGCACTTTTAAACCCAGATAAAGCTCTGCCTAAACTTCTTCACCCTGAGTCGTAGCTAGTGCTCTGCAATAAAAGTCATTTTATAACGTTCTGCACTCAGTCCCTGGTTATGTCAGGTGCAATGCCCCATGAGATGCTCTGCATTCACAGATAATGATGAGCCCTGAGATTTAGATAATGCTCTGCACACTAATAACCAATCAGTTCAGCATAATGCTCTGTACTCACAGACTCTGTGCTCTGGTGATGCTCTGCAGCCAAGTCCAAGATGATGTTCTGCACTCAAATAAAATTCATCTTTCACCATTGAGTCTGAGGCAATGCAGTCTATCCAGTGTGCAGTATATCCAGTGTGGGTGATGCTCTGCAGTCTATACCTAGAACCATATGTTGGTATTGTACTGCACTGAGTTCTAGATAGTCTGGGTGATTACCTGCAGTCATTTACAGCATTAAAAAGTCATTAGTGATGCTCTACACTCCAGGCAATGATTTATACCCAATACCCTGAGATGCTCTGCAATACTATATCAATCTAATATCCTGTGATGCTATTCAGTTTATGATTGGGATCCTGGTTCTCTCTCTATCCTTACTCTCTCAGTTTGACCCTGGCTGTCTCAGTCTCACTCTGTCTGACCCATGTTGTCTCAGTCTCCCTCTGTCTGACCCAGGCTGTCTCAGTCTCACTACTCTTTGAGGCTGCTTCTTAACCTTTCATTCAGTTCCCCTCTGCCCCTCCTTTTTGTTTTTTAACTTCTGCTCCTCCTTCTTTCTTAAATCCTTCTTCTCTTTCTGTGCATTATACAATGTGTCAATTCCCACATGGTTCAGCAGCTGCCTTGTGCATCTCCCCGGTCCCCCTGTGCCTACTAGTAACTGTGGCACCTCTTCTCTTAGTCAGGCTCCAAGTCCTATTAGCCACCCCTGTGTGTTTGCCATTAACTGTGCCATCACTCCTGCTAGCCGGCCAATCTCCCTGACTCTGTCTGTCCAAAACTGTGCCATCTCTTCTCCTAGCCAGCCAATCTCCCTGGCTCTATGTCTGTCAATAACTGTGCCATCGCTTCTGCTAGCCGGTCAATCTCCCTGACTCTATGTCTGCCAGTAACCTTGCCATCTTTTCTGCTAGCTGGTCAATCTCCCTGACTCTGTGCCTGTCAATAACTGTGCCATCTCTTCTGTTAGTCGGCCAATCTCCCTGATTCTGTGTCTGTCAATAACTGTGCCAGCTCTTCTGCAAGCTGGCCATTTTCCCTGATTCTGTGTCTGTCAATAACTGTACCATCTCTCCTGCTAGGCGGCCAATCTCCCTGACACTGTGTCTGTCAATAATTGTGCCATCTCTTCTGTTAGCCGGCCAATCTCCCTGACTCTACGTCTGTTAATAACTGTGCCATCTCTTCTGTTAACCGGCCAATCTCCCTGACACTGTGTCTGTCAATAACCGTGCCATCTCTTCTGTTAGCCAACCAATCTCCCTGACTCTGTGTCTGTCCATAACGGTGCCATCTCTTCTGTTAGCTAGCCAATCTCCCTGATTCAGTGTCTGTCAATAACTGTGCCATCTCTTCTATCAGCCGGCCAATCTCCCTGATTTCTACGTCTGTCAATAACTGTGCCATCTCTTCTGCTAGCCAGTCAATCTCCCTGACTCTGAGTCTGTCAATAACTGTGCCATCTCTTTTGTTAGACAGATGGCCTTAAGTTCTCCTGCAAAATGTCTTGATAAACTTGGGAATTCATTTTTCCTTCGATGATCGCAATTTGTCCAGGCACTGACGCAGCAAAGCAGCCCCAAACCTTGATGCCCCCACCACCATACTTCACAGTTGGGATGAGGTTTTGATGTTGGTGTGCTGTGCCTTTTTTTCGCCACACATAGTGTTGTGTGTTTCTTCCAAACAACTCAACTTTGGTTTCATCTGTCCACAGAATATTTTGCCAGTACTGCTGTGGAATATCCAGGTGCTCTTGTGCAAACTGTAAACGTGCAGCAATGTTTTGTTTGGACAGCAGTGGCTTCCTCTGTGGTATCCTCCCATGAAATCCATTCTTGTTTAGCGTTTTACATATTGTAGATTCGCTAACAGGGATGTTAGCATTTGCCAGTGACTTTTGTAAGTCTTTAGCTGACACTTCTTCACCTCATTGAGCAGTCTGCGCTGTTCTCTTGCAGTCATCTTTACAGGACGGCCACCCCTAGGGAGAGTAGCAGCAGTGCTGAACTTTCTCCATTTATAGACAATTTGTCTTACCGTGGACTGATGAGCAGCAAGGCTTTTGAATATACTTTTATAACACTTTTATAACACCTCCAATCTCATCTCATTGATTGGACTCCAGTTGGCTGACATCTCACTCCAATTAGCTCTTTGAGATGTCATTAATCTAGGAGTTCACATACTTTTTCCACCTGCACTGTGAATGTTTACATGGTGTGTTCAATAAAAACATGGCAACATTTCATTCTTTGTGTGTTATTAGTTTAAGCAGACTGTGATTGTCTATTGTTGTGACTTAGATGATGATCAGATCACATTTTATTACCAATTTGTGCAGAAATCCATATCATTCCAAAGGGTTCACATACTTTTTCTTGCAACTGTATATCTATCTATCTATCTATCTGTATATCTATCTCTCTATCTATCTCTCTATCTATCTATCTATCTATCTCTATCTATCTATCACTCTATCTATCTATCTATCTCTCTGTCTGTATATCTATCTATCTATCTCTCTGTCTGCATATATATTTATCTATCTATCTATCTATCTATCTATCTATCTCTCTGTCTGTATATATATATATATATATATATATATATATCTGTCTGTATATCTATCTATCTATCTATTTGGACATGTCCATACACAGTAAACAATCTTTAAATTGGATTTATTTGCTGATGACATTGTAATTACACTAGTACAACAATGGACGCTCCTTGCCTAGTAATATGGAGTTCTTTACAAGGCTCAGCAAACAGGGCTATGCAGGAATTCAAAGTGAATTCAAAGCCAAAGTAGCCAAATTGGAATAAAGTGACGTCTGCTGTGCTTCATGTTCGACTAGTTTGGCATTTTTGAAATTCGCTTTGAATTCCTAACAATTCTCACTTTAGTGAATAACCCAATCTGAGTTTCAAACCTGAATGTGTGTGTCTGAAAGGACAAATGTTTCGAGCTGCATCCACATAAATCTTAACATGCTTAGTCCGTAGTAACACCCCCCTGTGCGAGATTCCTGTGGTTATGTCATTTATCTGGCGATATATGCCATTTGTATGGTCCAATATGTTGGACAAACCTACACTGATCAGCCACAACATTAACACCACCTGCCTAATAATGTGTTGTTGTTCCTCGTGCTGCCAAAACAGCTGTGATGCGTCGAGGCATCTGTGTGGCAGGGTGCATTATCCTGCTGAAAGAGGCCACTGACACCATGGAACACCATTGCCATGAAAGGGTCTGCAACAATCTCTAGGTATGTGGTATGTGCAGGCCTGGATTGGCCATCGGGCACACCGGGACTGCAAATACCAAATACCTAGAGATTATCACTCTGGATCTCGCGAGAGTGATCTCTAGCCCTGCAGGTAGTGGCTTCCATACCGTAGTCGCAGGGGTCGCAGCTGCGACTGGGCACGTCACTCCAGGGGGCCGGACCCCGTGACCGGGTACCATCTGCCATGCATGTTAAGGGGTCCATCGGGTGGCCCATGCTGTCAGGGCCACCCGATGGATATGGATTGTCAGGGGGCCCGGTCTGCGCTGGGTGTTTTACCAGCATGACCGGGCCCCCTGTGATAAAATCACACAGAGCTGAGAGGAAGTGACTCCCCGATCAGTCCTCCCAGCTATCAGAGCCTGCGCGGGAGGAAGCAGGAAGGAGGAGGGAGTCAGAGTGGGAACTCTGATTCCCATCAGGCTGAGCCCCCACTGGACCCCAGGGAAAGTCACAAAAGGTAGGAAACAAGAAACATTTTGTGTATGTGTGTGTGTCTCTGTATGTATATGTGTGTGTCTGTGTCTCTGTATGTGTGTGTGTGTGTCTGTCTCTTTATGTGTGTGTGTCTCTGTATGTGTGTGTGTGTGTGTGTGTCTCTGTGTGTGTCTGTATCTCTGTGTGTGTGTCTGTCTCTGTATGTGTGCATCTCTGTATTTTGTGTGTATGTCTCTGTATGTGTGTCTCTGTATGTGTGTGTGTCTGTGTCTCTGTATGTGTCTGTGTCTAAGTATGTGTGTCTGTGTGTGTGTGTGTGTCTGTATGTATGTGTGTGTCTGTATGTATGTTTGTATGTATGTGTCTGTCGGTGGGTGTTTGTCTGTGTGTATGTGTTTGTGTGTATGTGTCGGGGGGACCCACGGATCGAGAGAGGGGAGGGAAGGGGAGAGAGGTGGGGGGGCCCACGGAGCAATTTCGCACCGGGGCCCCATGAATTGTGTGTACGCCACTGCCTGCAGGCTAGAGTTCACTCACCACTAGGACCATCAAGGATGACAGCACGATCCCCCCTGCCAGGCTAAAGGTAATAAGGGAGGGGGTATACAATGCTTGCTTTTTTTTTATCTGCCTTCCCCCCAACACACGATCCCTCTAAATATATACACACACAGCACCCTCAAACACACACACACACAGCACCCTCACATACAGCTCCCTCACATGCACCCTCACACGCACACAGAGCCCTCACACACATTACATTACATTACAACCCATTACAACCCATTACATTACAAACCAACCCATTTACACATTACCACACCATAATCAGCTCACTCTACACACACGCAATCGCACAAGCAGGCTCTTTTGACTCCTGGTATCCCATTTATAGAGACACCAGAGACAAGTTACAAGCACATACAGCATAAGCATGTTATTAAATTTGCTTGCGCTGTGCAGAACAAATACAGGACCCTTTTCTCATGCTAGAGCTCTTCAGCAGAGCTCTGCGCAATTTCTGCCCTGGAAGAGCATTGAACCAACATGCTCACTTTGACAGGGTGCGTGCTTGTCATTTGTGATGACAAAACGCCCCCCATGTCCCCCCTCCCTTCTCAGTGGGTCGTTGTGATTAAAAAATACCCGAGCCGAATTTTGTCTCCAGTCCGGCCCTGGGTATGTGTCAGAATAACATGCATATGAATGCTAGAATCCAAGGTTTCCCTAAAAAACATTGCCCAGAGCAAAACACTGTTTCTGCAGGCCTGCCTTTTTTCTTGCTGAAGGATCCTGCAAGACTGTGCTTTTCATGGACAGCTGAGAAAATTGACAAAACTTGATGGTGGTACCTTTTGTTGGGTATTATCGAGGTAGGGGGTTTTCCATAAGACCAAGTATTATGTCTTTGTCTTGTGATATCTTTTGACTAGATGGATTGCTTGACTTTATTTCCTGGGAACCTAAGTATTACCTTTCATTTTTACTGCTACTAAGATTCCCCCGAGGCCAGGCCACTCTCGCTACCTGCGAGGAATCAGTTCATCTTTAGACCGTATAATACGACTATTCTCTACAATATGGAAAGAAGGGGAAGAAGAAATGATAGCAGACATTTTACTGCTCCTTAGAGGCAAGGGTGAAGGAAAGAATCTCTAAATAGAGAGAAATCATAAAGAGTGGACTAGCTGAAGGACACCAGATTTACATAAAATGGCTAAACTACCTGGGTCAGAATAACAGAATTCTTTAAAACCAATAACAAGCCAAGGCTAGAACTCGAAATAACTAAAGATGGCTTATAATGTGGTAAAGTGACCTAATGTCCCTATATCAGGGCAATGGCGCTAGACTGCGCGCATTTACTGTCGAATAGGCACTCGCACAGATATGGGCAGAGAATGGTGATCGATACAGACAGCAATAAATGGCAATGAATGCCAGCAATATGTATCATTACAGCCGCCAGTCGCCAGAGGGTGTCAAACATGCCGCAAAACATAATTAGTTTCATAAACACAGAACTCATAACACTGCTGATATAATGTAAGACCAAGACGTACAATAGTCTCTTTGATAAGCACATGTTTATAGTACATACACATATTACTGTTTATCAGCCCTCTCCTTGACAGATTCTGGGTAATACAATAATGTTTTCATTAACAAGACCTTCAATTAAACACAAGCAGACAAACAAAAGACTCATGGGTTATTTAGTCACAAAAAACCTCATCTGGTTCCTAACATATACTATTTTCATTTATCGATTTTTGTCAAGTCTACTGTATGTAACGAAAAAAATTCCCCAGGCACTCAAGGTGTTAAAGCCGCAGGCAGTTTTAATTAAACAAAAAGAACAGCGACGTTTCGACCTGCTAAGAGGTCTTTTTCAAGCTAAGTCTACCGTATCTTATTCTCAACAATATTTATGATCAAACAAATGAGAAATTAGCATAATGGTAAATTTACATAATTGGATTTCTAGGTATATTTAAAGGAAATACATACAGAAAACTGCTGCTTGCCCTTTATCTATATAATTCGGTAGTGATGGATTTACAATTTCATCATTAAAATCAGTCGTAATACAGTACTATAGTACATAGGCATACCTTGGTTATTTGGTACAAAGGAAAAATCTTCTGCTGATATTCCACCCTGGGATTTAACAATCTAAACTTCCGCATCCCCTCGTGCCAGTGCTTCTGTGTCTTTCCTTCCGACAACTTACCCTCGGATGTGTCTCTCCATACCCCAATTAACCTTGTAAATGTCTTTCTTTGCTCCCCAACCTCTTTTGTCTTTCTTTTTCCATACATTCCCCATTTTGGTCTCCCATTACCAACTGACCCCATTGTGTGTTTCCCCAATCTCCCTGCATGTCCCCTCCACCCCATGTCACTTATCCTGTCCTGGATTTTGTCATGGCCAAGTAGGACTATTGTAGAGGCTCTGCGTGTTCCTCTACCCAGCCTGTCAATGCAGCACTTAGTATACTGTTGGCATTGCATAGTATTGCAGACAAGTGTGAATATATTTGGCCTTTTTTGTTGCACTACCACATGGGAACCTGTATGAAGCAATCATCAAGAACATTCCATTAGTTTCCATGGTGATTGCTCCACTTGTAAAGCTTTGCCCCAGGATTGGTCGTTATAAAGCGGTCCCAGAGCTGCGATGCCTGGAAGTAAGCTCCAGTCATGTAATTTAATAAACCTTTGGAAAAGTGGAGCTCATGACATGATAATAATATAATAATAAATGATGATAAATAATGACATGAGGCACAGAAGAGAAACCTGTCTGGTTGCGAGCTAAAAGCTAACAAGTCTGGATGTTTAAAATTGTATTATTGTTTTATAAAGATTTTGCCATCAGCCTCCCAGATATATCATGAGTCTTTAGCTCCAGGAAGACATGATGGCTGGTTGGGTAAAAGTATTAAGGAAGAGAGAGGTTTGGGGGTTAGGACCATCATGTTAAACATTATATTACGCTTCCTTTTCAGCAAGTAACAAGTAGATTAATCTTCCTTCATTGCTGACTGGGGTTTCCTGTCCATAAATTCCACATAGATTCATCCTCAGGCACATAAATCAGAGATAAATGGGTAATTGAAATGCACATGAAACACTTGCCCATTGTGCAGACCAATGGTTGTCACAGACAGAACCCAGCTGTAATTGACAGAACCCACGAGTTCCTAAAATGTTTCAGAAATATTCTTATCATCAAAGTGTTACATGTCAGGCTGGAACTGTAAATTGTGAAATACCCTCTTCTTCTGTGCCATATTGGTTAAATATATTGGCCTCTACAGTGTAAGGATCCCAGTATTTTAAACTAAAACTTCAAGCACACTAAACATTGAAGGTCACTGCATAGAATATGATTCTAAAATGTATCTCGTCAATGTCTGAGTGCACTTCCTATACCTCCTCCACTGCCCATAATGTATGTGTCTACTAAAGTAAAACTGTAAAATCTGTCAATACTCTAATAGTAAGCAGGGGAGGGCTTGCAAGACAGCTGGTGGCACTTTCCCCTGGCCACTAGCATATACTGGTGTGGGTTGCATTATCTTACTTTTGCCATGGAACATTTGTATGTCAGTTGACAGAGTACCACAAGAGTGAGGCCATAGGCAGGGATTCTCCATGGCCTTTGCTAGCTCACCACTATGTTGGTGTGTGCTTGGCCCAATACTCGCCCATTAGGATAATTCCTGGGATATGATATCTGTGAATTTCACGTGGCCCTTTAAGTGCATTTGTCCCCTAGTATGGCTGCTATCAACTTACTCAGCGAAATGCGGTAGGGCTGTGCCAGCGAAAAATAATAAATAAATAAATAAAATAACGTAAAATAGTCCAAAAGAATCTCACTAGAGCAACAGTGCTTGATGGAGTATAGGTGGGTAGACTTTTCAGTAGAAGTGGGTGCGTCCTAGTGTCTCAGGGTATTCGCATATATGAAAAAAAAAGGAGACAGGGGCAGCCAGTAGTGCAATACGTCTAAAATCCAGAGGGTAAAATAATATGAGAAGGTAAAGAACTCACATTTAAGTAACTTACTTACTGTGCCAATTCTCTTTTTATTGTATTTTTATGCACTTTTACCATTTTTACTTTCCTGGCTTTTTACTGTTGTTCCTGCACTTAAAGAAATCCCAGGTGGGGATCATGCCACCAACGCCTTGCTAATAGAGCAGTGTTTCTGCTCTATACCTGTAAGTATTATTTTAGTTACTTTTATTTATCCAAAAGTAGCCAAACTTGAACAATTCTCCAAGTTAGCCATGCTTCCAGGCTTGAAGTCTTTGGCCTTCAATTTTGAATTAATTGTAAATTCACTTTGAATTCATAACAAATCTCACTGGTCTCACTGGTGAATAACTCTGTCGGGCATTTTTCAAAATGGATTTCAGATTTGAAGCCAAAGTAGGTTCACTAAAAAACCTAGAAGATAATTTCATAATACAAATTCACGTTGGACTCCTGCCATTTCACACTTCAGTGAATGTCTGTCTGTGAGCGTTTCAATTTGCCAAGTGTTTATAAACTATATTATTTTGTGCTCTTTTTTTTTTTTTTTTTAATACTGCATTGGTAAGAAAAAAAAAAATGATATCACCAAACAAATATAACATTAAAGGATGACTATAGGGTCAGGAACACAAAAATGTATTCTTAACCCTATAGTGAAAACCCACCATTTAGGTGGCTTGCACCCTTCCCCCTTTAGCTCCCTCAGAATGGGTTAAAACTCACCTTATTTTCAGCTCTCCACATGTCCGCCGGCATTGGCCCACCCCTTGGCTACATCATCAAATTGCAGATTTTTAGCCAATCCAATGGTTTCCCATGGGAAAAGCATTGGATTTGCTAAAATCAGCAAGGGGGCGGGGCCAAATGCTGTTTTGGCCAATCAGCACCTCCTCATAGAGATGCATTGAATCATTGAATCCTGCGTCTCCATGAAGAGCGTGGGGACGTTGAACAGCAGTGCTGCTTACTGTGCAGCCCTGATCCAGGAAGCCCCTCCAGTGACCATCTGAGGAGTGGCCACTTGGATGTGTCCCTAGGGGCAATGTAAACACAACCTTTTCTCTGAAAGGGCAGTGTTTACATGAAAATGCCTGAAGGCAATGATTATACTCACCAGAACAACTACATTAACCCCTTAAGGACACAGCTTCAGAAGCTTGACTTACGCTTAATGACACAAGCAATTTTTGCATTTTCTTGCTGTTTGCGTTCAACTGCAATTTGCATCTCTCTCATTTATTGCACCGACACATATTATATACTGTTTTTAAAAGGACAGAAAGGGCTTTAATTTGATATAACATATATATATATAAATGCTTACTTATTATAAAAAAATACAGAAAAATGCAAAAAAAATGAAAAATATTGTTTTTTTTTACAGTTTTTGCAATAATAATGTGTGCATAATTAGTGCAGGTTAAGGAAAGTAATTAAAAATAAATTTATTTATTTGTTCTGATTTACAGAATATATAATGTGTCTGGGATTTTAAGTTTTTTTTTGGTAGTTACAGGTCACAAAGCACAAGGAGTAAAATAAACTTTTAATGTGGAGCGATTTTAGAATTTGGTATGTTTGTCTTGTAAGCTTAATAGCCATAAAAGAAAACAAAATTGCCACACAAAAGTATATATTTATATAAAGTAGACATCACGGGCTATTTACCTAAGGTTGTTTTGACACTTTCTACGTAGCCATTTCACCGCCAATCTGCTAAATATTGGAGTAAAATTGTGTTCTTTTTGGTTTTTGGCACACAAACTTATAACAGAGAAATTCTCGTGTATATTTTGTAAAGTTGGTGTGTGCTATTCCTGTACAAAGTTTTATTTTGTGTTCAGTTACATCTGCTGAGTAAAATGACACCCCCATTGTATGTCTTTTGCACTATTTCGTGAAGTTACAGTGCCATACAGGATACCTGTCCTTTTCAGTATTCACAGTAGAATTTTGAGAGATGGATTTAATGAGCCTTAGCTTCCATTTGGGGTATTATAACAGTTTGACTGTTCAAAAAAACCCCACAAAGGCCTACCATTTGTAAAAGTAGACACTCCAGGGTATCTTATAAGGTGCATATTGTGCCTTAGCATGCCCCCATTTTTTCACCAATATATGCCAAAGTATGTGGTAAAAAATAATTTTGTGCATTTTTTACATACGGATTGCATTTTTGCTGGGCGTTTTGTATATTTCATATGTGCCACTAAGTTCAAACCCCCAAAATTATGCTCAGCTAAGTCTTCTGAGTAAAATGACACCCACAATGAATGTCTTTGGCACTATTTCGTGAAGCTACAGTGCCATATAGGAGACCTGTCCTTTACAGTATTCACAGTAGAATTTTGAGAGATGGATTTAATGAGCCTTAGCTTCCATTTGGGGTATTATAACAGTTTGACTGTTCAAAAAACCCCCCACAAAGGCCTACCATTTGTAAAAGTAGACACTCCAGGGTATCTTATAAGGTGCATATTGTGCCTTAACATGCCCCCATTTTTTCACCAATATATGCCAAAGTATGTGGTAAAAAATAATTTTGTGCATTTTTTACATACGGATTGCATTTTTGCTGGGCGTTTTGTATATTTCATATGTGCCACTAAGTTCAAACCTCCCAAATTATGCTCAGCTAAGTCTTTTGAGTAAAAATACACCCCCAATGAATGTCTTTGGCACTATTTTGTGAAGCTACAGTGCCATATAGGAGACCAAGCCATATCCGTTTTTACCAAACTTTGAATTTTGACGCTGGGCCTATGTGCAATTTCCAAGCATCTTCGCAGGTTTTAAATTCAAACTACCCCACAAAGGCCTACCATTTCTTAAAGTAGACACCCCAGGGTGTTTCAAAAGGTATAGTTTGAACCTTAGCGTGGGATCATTTTTCCGCTAGCTTGTACCAGATTTAGTGGTAATAAGCGTTTTTTCTGCCTTTTTGACATACAAAGTGAGTTTGCATAGTATATTTTGCAAACCTTATGTGTGCTATGACTGTATAATACTTCATATGTTGCTCAGCTATGTCGGCTGAGTACAGCAATACCCCCGTATGTACCTTTGCCAGGTATGTGTGGACATCGGAGGGGCACATTTGGGACACAGCCATTCCAGTTTTTTTCAAACTTTGAATTTTTATGCTGTGCCTATGTCCCATTTTAGAGTATTTTACCAGGCTATATAATCCAAATTCCCCATAAAGCCATACCATTTCTTAAAGAAGACATCCCAGAGTATTTCAAAAGGCATATTTTGAACGTTAGCGTGGGATCATTTTTCCGCTAGCTTGTACCAAGTGTAGTGGTAATAAGCATTTTTTCTGCCTTTTTGACATACAAAGTGAGTTTGCGCAGCATATTTTACAAACCTTATGTGTGCTATGACTGTATAATACTTCATATGTTGCTCAGCTATGTCGGCTGAGTACAGCAATACCCCCGTATGTACCTTTGCCAGGTATATGTGGATGTTGAAGGGGCGCATTTGAGACGCAGCCATTCAGTTTTTTCTAACTTTGAAGTTTTACGCTGTGTCCATGTTCCAATTTGGAGTAGTTTAGACGGTTGGTTATTGAAACTTCCCCACAAACACATACTATTTATTAAAGAATACACCCTGGGGTAATTCAAAAGGCATATTTTGAACCTTGGCGTGGGATAATTTTTTCTCTAGTTTGTTCCAGGTGTAGTGGTAATGAGCGTTTTTAAAATGTATTTTTTTACTTTTTATAACTTTTTTACTTTTAAAAACTAGTTTTTAAACTTTTGTTTTGCTTATTAATTTTTTTTAAACTTTCCTAAACTTTCTTAAAACTTTTTTACAGATTTAACATTTTTCTAAGCTTTTTTTTTTACCGTTAACCCCTAACTAGCAGTACGCAGCACTAACAGTAAATTCCCCATTTTCCCATAACTCCCACCCACCCCAGCTAGCAAAATATATAGTTATAAAATATTTAAATTAATTAATTAAATAAATTGAACCCCTGAGGGTTAAAAAAATAAATAAAAGTTAATCCTCAGGGGTTAAAAAAATTAGATCACAGTATAATACTGTGATCTCTATTTGATCGCTGTAGGCAGTGATCGACTGGCAGGGAAGGGGTTAATTTTTATTTGGACTAGGTAAAGTGTGGTTTTTTTTGTTTTTTTTTACTTAAATGTTATTAAAACATTTTTTTAAGCTTAATTTTTAACTTTTTAAAGTTTCTTTTAACCCCTAGTTAGCCTAACGCCAAATCCCCCAATTCCCCACTAACTTCCACCTACCCCAGCTAGCTAAATATATAATTAAAAAATAATTTAATTAATTTAACCCCTGAGGGTTAAAAAAAATAATAATTAACCCTCAGGGGTTAAAAAAAAATCAGATCATAGTAAAATGTAATCCCTGCCAATTGATCACTGTAGTCAGTGATCAATTGGCAGGGAAGGGGTTCATTTTTTATTAAAATGGGTAAGGGGGGGGGGGGACTTTAAATAAACTTTATTTTTTTTTACAGCAGGGGGCAGGATCAGCACTGATCCGGCTCCCTGCACTTCACATAGAACCCGGAAGTGCAGGGAGCCGGTAGGTGAGTATAGAGAGCACATGTGCTCGCTCTGACTTGCGGTCAAAGCGAGCACATGTACTGGGCATACTGACCGGGTGCTCCCGGTATGCCTCTAATGCAGAGGCATACCGGGAGCAACATTAACCCCGCGATCGCCGCGATAGCGGCGATCCGGGGTTAATTTTACCGCGTGACGGACGAGGTCCGTCACCCGTCGTTAAGGGTCTCCCCTCTGTGACGGACCTCGTCCGTCACCCGTCCTGAAGGGGTTAAGCTGTAATTGTTCTGGTGACTATAGTATCCCTTTAACACAAGCCAATATTACAAAAATAAGGATAGAAAATGTCACAGCATTATGAGAAATATACTATCATGCATAGATGAGATACTATGTGTTACACAGGAAGGGCACTAGATAAGATGATTTTTGCAACAAAACAATAACAAGTGCATATCCATAATTTTATTTTCATTTAATCTATAATGCCTTATTACACTTTTTTTTATGCTTCATGAATTAAAGTTCACGTTTCTACATATTTATACATATTCTGCGTTTTGATTACATTTTTAAGAAGCTGTTTTAATAATAATGCCGTGAGGATCCTTACAAAAAAAAATATTCTAAGCATGGAATTTGGTCATTTTTAATCAAGTATTTTAAATGTTGAGAGGAAATTCTCTAGAGATTAGATACTGTGCAGTGGCTGAAACTATTCAACCCTCCCACCCCCCACCCCCAAATAAGCCCCCAATATGGGAAGGTAGAAAAAAATAATCATGCAAATGTACATATTTAAAAATGTTATGTATCTCCGAGCAGCAATCTATACATGAAATTACTGATTTGTTCTACATTTATGTTTCCCATATTTGTAATAAATGTTATACTAATATTTTAAAATAAAAATGTTTAGTAGTGAGCGGGTTAAGCTTTTGTCTAAATTCCTCTGGTATCTCCTGGATCCTTCAAATCAGACTAAAACATCACATTTTCATTTCCTTGCTTTGCTAGGCATCTGCATCCTTCCCTGTTTTCTTTGCGTCACCAAAATATCACACGTCACTCAGGGGTTTCGTTACTAAACAACCTCAAAACAAACTGCTAATTTACCAAGGTAGTTGGATTGGGGGAAAAAAATGATATTCATCTATTTTTCCATTGTGACAATTAAGACTTAATTTTAACAATTGTGTTTCAGTCCATTATGATTCGCCATCTACAAAGAAAAGAACAACAACAACAACAAAAATCATTTTGTAACTAAATCGGTTTCAGAAACCTAACTTTTTACATATTCTCGTAAATGGATCCAGAAGCAAATTGCAAGAACTGGCTCGACTCTATTCTAAACTATAAAAAGAAGTTTAATTAAATGAAACTGTCTCCAGAAACATAGAATAATTGCACTGAGAACATTTTATTCTCCACCAGTTTAAAGGGAAAACAACATTTTAAAAAATTCACTGCTTAGTAGATATGCCCCAAATGAACACTTGCATGCATTTAATTCTGCATGTTTTTCGTTGGGGTTATATCTAAACAGTTTGAAAAATCTACAGTTCTCTTATCTCAGGGGTCCTCAATCTGTGGCCCTCCATATGTTGCTGAAGTACAACTCCCATGGGTATTCTTTGAATTACATAGATAGCCAGAGAATCATGGGAGTTGTAGTTCAGCAACATCTGGGGGGCCGGAGTTTGAGGACCCCTGTTTTATCTGCTGCCTTTACAAGCCCTCCCCTTCTAACCCTGACCAGAATTTCCATGGCTGTCCAATCACAGATTTCCCAATGCAACTCAATGAGAAGTCTTTGCAAGGCAGGTACTCTGGGCAATTGCTGCCTCTCGAGTTTAGCTCCACTGAGCTAACCAAACCAGGAAGTAACAAGACCGGTTTTCTGATTGGAAGCCGGGCAGAAGGCGGGGTGTAACAATGTTAATTCAAAAAAGTGCCAATTTCTTTTGAAATCTGCACTGTTTGTAAAATGAAAATAAGAGGACACACTCTTCACATGTAAAGCACTGCTTTAGGGGTCTAGAGTGTCCCTTTAAGATCACTAAAAATAGCTACTTTGTATTTAAAAGGCAACTGCATAAGTGGTGCTAAATGAACACTATAGTGTTAGGAATACAAATCTGTGTGCCATAAATGTGTAATAAAAATAAATATTTAGTCGATTCACAAAATTCCTCCAATTAATTTATTTTGCCTTAAATGGTTACACCAAGCATGAAGCATCATAACCACTACACCGCCCACTATGGTGCCAGGAGTACCATGGACCAGTTCACCAATAATGGGGCAAACTTTTTAGTAACAGTTTCCTTGGTCCATGCCAGGCTCCTGGTCTCTTAGCAGGGCTGGTGACACTTAGCTCTGCAGAAGTCATTGACTAAGAGTGTCAGCTGACCACTCTCAACCAATAGGTGCAATTCTGTATTTGAAAATTTGCACAGAATTGACATAAGGCATCCTGGAACTCTATTCTAAACTGGCTGATGACCCCCCAATGATGCTGTCAGGTGCGGAGTTACAGCAGAGGGATTGAAGTGGTCATGGTGCTTGGAGTAACTCTTTATATTTGGCAGAATGGTTGTTAATATGCCACAGCTATTTATTTATGAATCAGTTTCCTTATACAAAAAACAAAAAGATCACAGACAATGTCATTGTCTGACAATGAAAATCCTGGCCGATACAGCATGCTGATGATCCAACATATGCGCACAAGACATGGCATTTCCTTTATCATTTATTCAGGAAATCCAGTGTTTTGACAGGCCAACTGAATATGAATCTGAGATCATTTTCTAGAATACAATCTCACATTACCGGTAATAGGACTGGCATGAGCTCATTGTAGTGGTAATGTTGCTATGCGTCTGTGGGTGTGATGACCTGGTTTTCTGTCAAACCATTTTGGATGGATTGGAAGTACTCTACCTGGCACATTCCCCGTGTGATTTCGGCCTATCACAGCCACCCTTGGTTGAACAGATTTGGTTTTGATAATGCTGAAATTTAATTTCATTATTATTATTGCAGATGTAGAGTGGTTAGGCAATGAGTCCTGTTTTTTTTGGGGGGGGGCCTGTGAAATAACAGGCGTACATAGTCCCTCCCCTCCCTTCTGCCGTGAACATCGGGTGAGGGCTAATTTAAATTTTAAGGTCTGAAAGTTGCCTGGTGTCATCCATTTTCAGTTTATGACAGTTTTCAATCAACCTAAAACTGGCCAAAACCGTATTTGGAACCAGTTTCTAGAATATGTTACTAGTTTTTAGAGAACTCAGGCTTATCCAGAGAGGCTATTATATTAAGTAAACCCATTTTCATTCGGGAGCTGTCTTGCTAAAATTGGAGTTGCATACATTTTGTGAATAAAATCTATTTTTTTTTTTTGCCTCGAAATGCCCCAGTCTCAAGAGACTTGGCTGTCAGAGCGATCTGATTGGTTGGCTTACTTTGGTTTTTTTGCAATCAGACCTTTTTTTTTTATTTTAATTGGTAGTGTTGAGAATTATGTATTTATATTTGGGGCTGAAGAAAAGAATTAGAAGAAAGTAGACTACTGACTTTTTTTTGCAGGTTTTAGATTTTTTTGGCCCCCTCCTCATTATTATTAGGATGAGGAGGGAAGTAGCTAGGGACTTTATTTCAGTGGGTCACTAGGCGATTGGGGACCCCGAGCCACCCAGGGAGAATACTATTATTTGGGGGAGGGGGCAATGGCATGTCCACCCCATATTTTATAATAATTAGCACCCCTATCCATATAATAATATAATAATTAGCGCCCCTTTCCACCAGCATGAGCCAGATCCCCCTTTATATAAATATTAGGGCTCCCAGGTGCCGTCATGGGTGGCGGCCATGAGAGGAGACTCTAGGTACCCTCTTAAAATTTAAATTAGACCCTACCTGAAGGTTGGGGGGGGGCTATATTACCTTGTTATTTTACAGGCCCCATCCCCATTGGACAGGACCTTTTCTAGTGACTGGGCAGCAATGGTGGCACAGTCGCTAGTTTAATTGTTTAGCAGATATGCTCCCACCTGACATCGGCACGATACCTCCATTATAGTAAAATCTGGGTCTTATTGATTCCCATCGGATTTTAATTTATCTATTTACTTATTTTACTATTTTAACCCGGGGCCTGGCTAACAAGCACTGGCCAGCCACCATATAATGAACCCTTGCCCAACTGAGGGTTTTTAAGTATTCGCCTGCTGATTGCACAAATCGTACCTTTACCCAATAATTATTTTCTTTAATGATCAATAAAAAAAGATTCCCAAGGCAATAACCTTTATTTTCTGACTTATATTGTTTAGAGATGAGTGGAGTAATGGTTTATCTAATGAACCACTGGAATGTCATGTTTTACACGCTGGAGCGACGTCAAAGAAACATGTTGAAGTTGAATGATTGCAAATAATCTCTCAGCAACAATAAGACACGTCAAACTAAATCAGAAGACAAACTGCTAATGGAGGTTACTGCATTGCAAAGCAGTGATTTGGTTTCAATTAAGCTTTTGTAATCCCAATGACAGAAGATATTAAAAGTGAATATTTTTTACCACCATGTTATTCCTTTTATAAATTACTACAATTTATAGTTGAGTACAAACTTAATACAAAAAAAATAAAATGAAATAATACTTTGTATACTTAAAGTGAACCCGTCACTCAATTTTTTATTTCACAAAGATACATGATATATTCAATTTTTCAATGTACAGTTTCCAGAAATAACCACCCTACCTCTCTGCGTTAGTGCCGCCATTTCCTCCTTATTCATTTACCCTCCTTGATTTCCCAAAAAGGGAAACCTTCTCTGTGACACTGACACTGTGGCTTCATTTACAGCATTCTGGCATCTTAACGAAGTCACATCAGCCACTTTGTTCCAATACTCCCTAGCCAGCACTAGCAGCATTGGCTATGGAGTTACCATAGCAACCACAGCACCTGTGCTGTGGTTGCTATGTGTGGAGAGCAGAAGGACCTCTTGTGAGAGGTCTTATCTGCTCTCTCCCTTGCTCAAGCATAAGATAACATACCTATGACAGGTACCCTTTAACCAATTATATTTAGTTTTTTTTTTATCTAAAGTGGGTTTTGAAAACTTATCAAAATAAATTGTATAGTATAGGACAACATAAAATCTATGACCCAGCTAAACTTTGCAATTGTCTTGTCAGTTCTTTAGATGTCCTAATTTTTTGAATACCTTTAAAGAGTTTCAGCAGCGTACCTCATTATACAGTGTTATAGGCTAAGTAGTCATAGACATATACCAAAGGAAAATCAATATAAGACAATATAAGAAGAGGGAGGGGGGTGGAATGTGAAAAATTAAGTAGTAAATACAAATTCCTGGTGGTGATATGTAACATAAAATCAAATCTGAAATGGGTGAATGAAATTTTAAAAGTAAATCGCGAACGTTCAATGGTGAATGTAGGTTTGGTGTGCATTCCCCTTGCTGCCTGTGTTCCATTGTGCGTCTTTCAAACTCACTCCTGGAATCGAAATCTCTGCCTTACGCATTTTGCAAACAATGCTTTATTTCATTGAGAGCCTCATGATGGAACCCAGGTGGCCAGTGAAATGCACACCAAACCTGCATTTACCTTCGGACGCTGGCGTCTCACTTTCGAACTTCAGCTGCCATTTCATACGGTCAGCAGAGGAACAAATTGGTATAGTGAACAGATAACTGCATATCGGGGATTCATCCCCTTAAATGCAACCTCAATTTTACAATCTGTGAGTGTTTTTAATTTTTTCAATAATAAATTAATTCACATATAGTAAAGCACTATTTACCTTTTTCTTTTCATTTAGTTACGCAAGTGAATATTTTGTGGATAATCTGAATTAATGTTCTCTCAGTTTGATACTGAGTTCTAAATTCATACAGCAATCTGGCCTGACCAGGCTACATTGTATTGTATAGTAGCACTGCCGGCCTGATTTCCATATTTGTATCCCAACATAATATTATCCCCCTGTAACGGTTCTGCTAGCAACTCGGCCGGTTGTCCTGGTTCAGCCATGTCTTGTCCCTAGAATGGAACCAGTTATAGTACAGAGAGACCTATTACCCACCCAGTAACTGGACGACACACAGTCCTGGCGGTACAACAACTTTATTGGCCACTCGGCTTTATACTTTCCCCATAAAAGCGGATCACACACATCAACAGTGTTCCCTCCCAGGGTCCTCCCCCTACCAGGGGTCATGTAACGGAACCAGAACCCCAAATCCTCCCAGGGGCCTGTGCGTGTTGACAGGAACTCCAGTCCCTTTGTGCCCAGCTCCCGCCACCCATCCCCAGGGTTTCCCACCTCTTGGGACCAGGGCTATTTATCCCATGAGCCTCTGTACCTGGGAGTCTCAGCATGGGAAAGTTTCCCACCTCTGTGACTCCCAGCCACAGAAAGCCTGCCAAACTGCCATTGTCCCCAAAAGAGTGTCCCCACCAATCTCAGGGACCCCAAGAACGGTAACCGCCTGCTCTCGTGGGGTCCCTATATGAAACCAGGCAAGGGACACAAATGCTCCCCCTTGCCGCCGATCGTCTATATGAACAGCGGCCGCCCAGGGAAGCACTCATTAATTACTTCCCTTTCGATTTCACACTTACGTGGCAAGTTGACAACATTCTAATTGATTGGTGTGAACATTCCAAGGGGTACTGGGGAGGTCCTCGTTCAGTAACCGAACAAGGTGGGAAGCAATTCGCAAATGCTCCCCCTAGATGGCGTTCATCTAACGAACGGGCTGCCACCCAGGTTCGGAACACGCTGAGGTTTCCCTTGCGGTTTGTGGTTTTGATACCTCGTTACGAGGTATAAACATTCTAAGACAATATTCTAAATGGGTTTCGTGGTGGTCCCCGTTCGGGAGGGGAACGGAACTCGTTCATATTAGCTCTCCCAAATGGGGAGCAGGTAAATCACATGAATATAACACAACACAGGGGAAACACGGGGAATAACACATAGCAATTCACGAACAGACAGCAGTCTCGCCATACCCCCATCTCTGTATGTTGAGATTTTGGACTTTTATGGACTTATAGATAGTGATTTATTGAATTTCATTCACCCATTTCAGATTTGTTTTTATTGTACATATCATCTCCAGGATTTTTTACCCACTACATTATTTGTTTTTATATATTTTTCACAATTGTTTTTTGTTCCTCTTCTTACATTGGCTTGAATATCAGCTCCTGGTCATTCTTTCACTTTGGTGGAAAACTGACTTTGTATAGTTTCCATAAAGTGTGGTGAAAGAAAAATATTTAGGAGATCAACCCCTACCCCCACTACTTTCTTAGGATAGAATAACACTTGCATTTTTTATATATATAGTAATTTTGTTCTTTTGTATGTACACATACAGTTGGGGGGGGGGGGAGTATTTGATCCTCTGCTGATTTTGAACGTTTGTCCATTGACAAAGAAATGATCAGTCTATAATTTTAATGGTAGGTGTAGTTTAACAGTGAACAGAATAACAACAACAAAAATAAAATCCAGAAAAACGCATGTCAAAAAAGTTATGAATTGATTTGCATTTCAATGAGTGAAATAACTATTTGATCCTCTATCAATCAGCAAGATTTCTGGCTCCCAGGTGTCTTTTATACAGGTAACAAGCTGAGATTAGGAGCACTCTCTTAAAGGGAGTGCTCTTAAATTCAGCTCGTTACCTGTATTAGAGACACCTGTCCACATAAGCAATCAATCAGATTCCAAACTCTCCACCATGGCCAAGACCAAAAAGCTGTTCAAGGATGTTAGGGACAAGACTGTAGACATACACAAGGCTGGAATGAGCTACAAGACGATCACCAAGCAGCTGGTGAGAAAGTGACAACAGTTGGTGCAATTATTTGCAAATAGAAGAAACGCAAAATAACTGTTAGTCTCCCTCGGTCTGGTGCTCCATGCAAGATATCACCTCATGGAGTTTCAATGATCATGAGAACGGTAAGGAATCAGCCCAGAACTACATGGGAGGATCTTGTTAATGATCAAGGCAGCTGGGACCATAGTCACCAAGAAAACAATTGGTAACACACTACGCCGTTAAGGACTGAAATCCTGCAGAGCCCGCAAGATTCCCCTGCCCACATGTACAGGCTCATCTGAAGTTTGCCAATGAACATCTGAATGATTCAGAAGGAACTAGGTAAAAGTGTTGTGGTCAGATGAGACCAAAATCGAGCTCTTTGGCATCAACTCAACTCGCCGTGTTTGGAGGAGGAGCAATGCTGCCTGAAACATTATGCTTTGTTGGTGTTTTTCTGCTAAGGGGACATGACAAATGCACCACATCAAAGAGACGATGGAAGGGGCCATGTACCGTCAAATCTTGGGTGAGAACTTCCTTCCTTTAGCCAGGGCATTAAAAATGGGTTGTGGATTGGTATTCCAGCATGACAATGACCCAAAACACACAGCCAAGTCAACAAAAGAGTGGCTCAAGAAGAAGCACATTAAGGTTCTGGAGTGGCCTAGCCAGTTATCAGACCTTAATCCATAGAAAATCTGTGGAGGGAGCTGAAGGTTCGAGTTGCCAAACGTCAGCCTCGAAACTTTAATGACTTGGAGAGGATCTGCAAAGAGGAGTGGGACAAAATCTCTCCTGAGATGTGTGCAAACGTGGTGGACAACTACAAGAAACATCTGTGATTTCCAACAAGGGTTTTGCCACCAAGTATTAAGTCGAAGAGGTCAAATACTTATTTCACTCATTGACATGCAAATCAATTTATAACTTTTTGACATGCATTTTATTCTGTCTCTCACTGTTAAAATACACCTACCACTAAAATTATAGACTGATCATTTCTTTGTCAGTGGGTAAATGTTCAAAATCAGCAGGGGACCAAATACTTTTTTTCCCTCACTGTAAAAGTATGGCTAACTTACTGAAAGCTGCATAGGTCTATATAATGGCTAAGCGGATAGAGTGTGCAATATTTTAGGATGGAAAACCGTGGGGTAATCAGAATACTCTACCTAAACAGTGATGAAAGTATTCAATATAGTGCAAGTTTTTGTTGTCCACTTACCGCCATATTCATATTAGTAAAAACTAAACATAGTGGTGCAATAAGATTTGTAAAGAAGGTCTGGATGTTTTTGGGGGGGAATAGTTAAAATGTTAAATAACAGTTTTGTAGTGTCAAGGAGAAATGTTCAGAAGGATTTTATCCCCTTTTTGTGCCACAATTGAGAATCATTTTAAAACAAGTTGATTTTGTTTGCCTCCTTTTAAATCAACAGTAGAAACAGATGCGTAAAAGAGTGAACTTGTTAATTTAGGTTTAAACCAGTGGCGGAACTACTGCAGTCGCAGGGGTCACGCTGTATAACCACCGGGACTACGCCTATCAAGTGGGGTGTGGGGTAGACAAATGGGGGATTAGGGGGGCCCAGGGCAGTTTTTGCACCGTGGTCCTGTGGTTTCTAGCTTTGCCTCTGGTTTAAACATTGTCATGTATTTTTTAATAAATTATATAGATACTGCATAAGGTTGTTAACCTCAAAAAGTCCATTGGTGGACTGCTTGGTGAGTCTTATTGCAGTTATAAAATCAAACAAGAGGAGAACCAGCTCTTGCAACACTGTAATCAGGAGAACCTCATTCTGCTCTATGGGGACTGCCCCTCATTTTATACATACACCGTACTATTGGCTGCTGCTGTAACTAACTGTTAGCAATGACAGTGGGCTTGGGGTGATCAAAGCACTATGTTGTTTGCAGTAAGACTGACCCTTCAAGTCGATTTTGAGCTGATCTTAGCATGTAGCATTTCGTAGATGATCAAACCCTGACATCTTCAGACATTAGGACCCGCATTAGGACCCGCACTGCATGTAAATTATATTGAGCGTCAATGATTCTTAATTTGTGTTTTAGCATCAGTAAATGGGCAAATGTCTAGGGAACGGGCAAATAAAATTTTTCCCTTGAATCCCAATCAGCACAGTAATCGCTCACTGCAGTATCTTGTAAGACAGCTTTTTAGATAAAGTGTTAGATTTCCTGTATTGCATTTAAGTTTCCTGCATGACAAGGAGTTTCCATGGCTGACTTCACATTCCGCTTTGATCATCTACACAGCTGCTCCTTCTTATTACGTAAAATACTAAAGTAGGACCCCCAGCATGCATTTTGAGTCTTCCTTCCTACAGATAAAGGAAATATGGGATTATTAAGACCATCTAAGCACCTAATGTAAATGTTAAATGCGCTTCTACACAGCACTGCCATCTAACATTAATTATCCAGCCATGACTCAAAGGAAGCATGCGTAAAGGGGAAAAAAAAAGATATATCTATGTAGCAACATTTAGCATTCTTCAGTAAACATATTTGGACCATCTGCTAATTCCTTGTCAATTCTCTAGTGCTACAAGTGCACAGCATTCTGGGCAAATAAAGTCAACATGCACGCAAAGGTTTTATCATTCTGTTTGCCCACAGTGCTGACGCTTATTCAGATACTGATAAAAGCACAAGTTCTTGCTCTGCATTAACTGTATCAATTTCTATTAGGACGTTCATTGCCTAAGAGTGTAAAAAATAAATAACATCCAAATATGAGCAGAAAAGTGGATGCTCGCGGGGACTCCAGTAAGAATGAAATTATTTTAAAAATCAAGTGACTCCTTACCAGGGGACGGTCTCTGAGCACTCCTCGTACCATAACCACCACAGCCTGTCTTTGTGAGATGGTCTGAATTACAAATGTTTTACAAATGGCAGCCTTCAATAAATTCCAGTTAGCTGAAGCTCATGAAGCACAATGTTTCTCTGGTCTAGACTGTTGCTTAAGTGCTCATTCGTATGTTATTTTTGTAGGCTGTACTTTTGTGTCAATAATCCATCTATCTCTGTAGATGAGATTTTTAGTTGTGACCACTGCCCCTCCTTCTCAAGCAATTTAGCTACAAGTTAAACTTTTACACAGGATATTCTTTCACTTTGGTGGTAAACATTTTTGTCTATTTTCTTCTAAATACCCATTTGGAAACCTCCACCAAGCATAATTATATTTGTTCAGGTACATTTTAAATAAATGTCACACAAACTCTTTTACTGCAGGTCATGCTTAGCCATCAACTCACGAATGTCGGTCTCTCAGTGTGTATTAAAATTCTCATTTTCACATCATTATTGTTCTGCCATGTTTAATTGTTTTTCACTTAGCGTATACACGTGATAAAGCATACGGTTTAAATAACTGGTATAAAGTTATCTACACCACATGCAATGCTTCTTAATAATTCTGTAAAAAATAAGTAAACTTTCAGAATATTATAATTATAGGAAATATATGACCTGATATGATTATTTACTTAATCTGCTCAGTAAGGGTTTGTGCTCTGTTAACATTCCATTATTAAGTAGTAGCAGCTCGAGACGGTTCCTTGTTCAGATCTTTTGCTTTTAGAAGACTCAATCTGCCATTCATTAAATAATCCAATGACTATGTTTTGCTGGTCAATTTGCGAGTCTGCTGACACAGGATTTTAACAAAGAAGAAGGATCCACTTTTTGTGTTTTTTATGGAAATGCGATTATGCCCACAGAGCAGGGAAGGAAGGCTGCATCAATGCTGATATGCATCTTGTCACTCAAGCATAATATCTTAATGATGTCTTATCTCCTAAACGAACATGTGTAAAGACTTGACATTTGCAAGACTGGCTTTCCTGGGCTGTCAAACAGTGATTCGTTTCTCTGTTATCCGTCACTAAAACCAAGGTTACTTAAAACCTCAACATGATACGCCCCATACTTAACGGCAAGAACTCGTCTGACCCAATAATGTTCTATATAAGACTCAAGGCCTGTATTTTTGTAAGGAGGGGTTGACTTAAAGGCAGTGTGTATATGGTTTAAATCCAATCGATTTAAATCTCTAGCCAGTAAGACTTGACTTACATTATGATTTATTTATTTTTTGTCAATCTTATTTTACAATTTTATTGTGCAAATAATGAATAAAGCAAGTCTGCTCCGCCACGTCAGCGGAACAAACCCAAGTAGTAACATACATATTAAGACAATGTCATGGCATTCAGATTTCTTGCACATTTGTTTTTAAATGTAGATTATAACATGCTAGTCAGGTATGTGTAGGTTGAGTGAGCATATAACAGTTATCTTGTGAGAAGGACTAGACAAATGAAAAAATGAAATAAAAAAAATATATAAACATTAAAACCGTAGAAGCTAAAACATGCTGAGTACACAGAGTGTTGTCAATATCTTGTGGTCTAAAAGAGTGTATGCATGCTGCAGAACAGTTAGGCTAATTAGAGTGAGAAGCTTCTCTATGCATAGGACATGTTATGAAAAAATAAAATTAAATATACAAGTTTAATCATGTAGCTAGTACCAAATAGACAAATACCACTGGATTCACATGCAGTGTGTCATAATATGCAAGCAGTTAAAGCATAGTATTTAACTAGTACAGCTGCATCATGTCAGGCTAATAGCAGTCAAACTGGTACACAAGCTTATGTGCCCCTAGCCAATGCCTAATGGTGGAGAGTCCCAGCCTCCCTTGTTGTCTGCCTTCATAGTTAAGCCACCCCATGGTGCCCAAACCCGCAGAGTCAGCTGTAGTCATACCTGTAGTCGGAGCGCAGCGTTATGTTTCTGCTTCCCCAATTATGTGAGGTTGCTTCATGCCGATGTACATTGACCCTCCGAGGGTGTGAGAGGCGTGGGGGGAACCTTCCCAGGCTGGGTCTTGGCTCAGGAGGATAGTAGTGCGCTGTAGAGTCTGGTCTCCGGTGCCTTTGTGCTTTCTGATGCTTCCGTTTCTTCACTAGTCGCTCCATCACGTGGTTTCTCCCGGCGGGCCGCGGCCCATGGGCTTTGCGTCATTGGTCAGGCAGACCGTCAGGGGCGGCATCAGGTCTCACTGTGCGTTGCTGAATTCAGAGCCAGAACTGTGCCGAGATGTTACCAAGGACCATTGTGAGTCAGTCCTCCTAGGAGGCTGGAAGTTTCTGTAAAATCTGGCTGGATTGATCGTCACTGTTAAATCTTCTTAATTTCTTCTTGTCTTCAGTTGACTGATATATGTCTTTTGTATATATGGTCGTGGGCCAAATATAATGCTCGCTACATTAATATATGCCTATATTAATGAAAAGTACTAATACGCAATCAGACTTACGGTTTCTTCAGGTTTATTCTTAGTTACGGATACATAATAAAACAACAAAGGATGTTACAGGATAATGGATTTCAACAGCAGATGGTAACTGCTGGACTCCTGAAGGGAGAGTTACATCCTTACATCTTTACATCGAGAGAGAGCGAGAGACCTCGTGTTCAGTTACTATAGAGAAGTGCCCATAATGATGTCAGACTATAACTCTAGCCATATACGGACAAAACCCCCAAATTCACATTCCAGAGCTCTCGGACAAAGAAAGCCTTGTGACTTATACCATCTGATACTTATGTCAATCCACACATCCATATATGATCAATAGAAACATAGAATATGCAATATTCTACAGTTTCCCATCGGCGGCCATCTTAGCATGTTGTGTGCAGGGAGGTATCTCTGAGGGAATAACCACAGGTAACAAAGGTGAGAATGTGTCAGCCCTCTATTGGGGACTTGGATGTCCCCTGCTGGTCCAAAGGGGGAGGGGGAGTACAGTGAGTCCACACTTTTGACCTATGATTGAGAAGAGTGGCCATCCCTCCCCATCCTGGTCTCGTGTAGGCCGCAGCCGTGCCCGGACATACTGCTACCGGCTGTCTGCAGGTTTGGCTCAAAAGAATAGTCACGGGGGCACACAAGTTGGTACGAGTTGTATCCGTTTAGAGAAAACAGCGTTTGTCAGGTAAAACAGGCTTATTTTTCGACAAGTTCCCGGAGCTCAGTTAAGATGTGACCGGCCATCTCTGCAGTCAGGCTCCGCCCCTTAAATTATTATTTTTGAATGTAAAGACTCATTCTTGTTTTATTTGCAACCAGGTGAATATCTCATACTTACAATAATAACTTTTCAGATTAGTTATATCAGAACTGATTTTGTTATTAACCATTAGAAAATAGAAATACATAAAGAGGACATTAATATAAATTATTATAGTTGAACTATGTCCAGTTTAATAGGTTTGTGGTGGTCATCCCATGAGATGAGGGGTGTTCACCGCCAGAGACGTCCTTTTCCCCTAGGGTGCGTAGCCCTGTGGTAATCTTAAAGCAATCTCCAAGCAGACCAGAAAGCCGGTATAACTGTACAGCTCTTAGAAGAGCAAGTAGTTATAGCTGTTCCCTACAATCACGAGACGAGGCTGCATTTTGAGGGTAGCGTAAACTTATTTATTGGTAGCCACACTGGCCTTTTATGCAATTCCTCATGCAAGAGGCACTCACCCATGGAACTTGTGGGGAACTACAATGTAAAATTACAGACCAATAACATAATGTATGACACTCCCACACATAGCATACAATCCCTCCCCATTAATTACTGTATCAACTCAATTATCTCCAGGCGAAAAAGAACATAATTTACAGACAACCCGAAAGTACCCCAAAAACTCACATAAACCCCATAAAAAGTATATTCCCTGATAGCCCCAACTTGGGTGAGCAACATATCCTAAATCAACCACAGAATCCTGAATAATAGATCAGAAAAAACAGGGTGCCACAATCACAAAGTTAAATTCAATCTGGAGATTCCCATTGATAGGAGGGACAAATAGATGTAAGAAAAATATCCACTTTATTAGTAATATATCCAGGTAAAATAAGCAATAACACACACAAGAATGTGCAAAATTGCAATACAATGATGTATTAAAAAGTCAATTAAGGCACGATGGCCCCTATCCAAAAATCACCCAGATCGGTTCAGGCGTTCGGGATTTTTATGGAAGTCTTATTTCTGACCGACCGCACACGAGGCTCCTGCCCAGAATAGTTCCAAAGATTTCAGGTTGTGCGGCCGGTCTCTTTCAGGAGCTTCAAATACAACGAAATATCCCAAATAACTGTTTGTGAAAAAGCTAGTCGTGTGTCCCTCGTTCGGGAGTTTGGTTTCACCGAACGATGCCTTCTTCGGATGACTTGGAACGAACATAGGTGATCCTGGAAGTCTCAGTAGTGTTCAGGCCGTTGAGTGTTTGAAAATAGGTCCATACACTCGACGACCAAACACCGCTGGACGTACATCCGAACGACGGCCACCCAGTGAACCACTTAGAACATTCAAATGTTGTGGTCAGATTCGTAACCGAACCAGGCAAAGCAAAATTAAACTTTAGAAACAGGGCATCTGTTACAAGGTTTTTCCCTCATATTTGGAGAACAATTTAAATTATAGGTATTCATTGTGTATACATAGGTTTGGAGAACAGCAATGGGATTAAGATATTTATTAACCTTTTAGGTTAAACTGTGAATATTGTATGAATATAGCCTCGTGCTATCAATTGTTGATGATCTAAGGAGAAATATTATTCCCATTATGGAGTCAGAAAGGATTTTGTTTTTCCTTTTTGTGGAATAATTGGAAATGGCTACAATTATTTTTCCTTCTTTTGGATCAAAAGCTTTAAAAGAATGAGATTCAAGGTTGAACTTGATGGGATGGACTTTAGTCTTGTTTTGCACAAAAAAAAAAAAAAATCCCTATTCCATGCCGAATAACCATTGGACTATAACGTATATTATATAGGTAGGTAATATATTGTTCAAAAGATTTCTCATCCAGATGTATTTTATTAAAAGAAATCCAATTTAAATTTAAATAATCACCAATTTGCATCCACAGTGGTTAAAAGGTGGTTAATAGGCACCTGGTGAAGTGGTCTGGGTGCCATGTCCTTGTAGTTTTAACCCTGCAAAATGAAACATTGCCGTTTTGAAGGAACAGTAATGTTTACATTGAAGGGTTAACATGCATCTAGTGGCTGTCACACTTACAGCCACTAGAGTTGCTTACACCCAAGTTAAACTCGGCTGTTTCAATCAAATGGTCTCACGGAGACCATTTGATTGGCACAGTACAGCATTTTGCCGCGTATTGGCACTAGATTGGAACCAGCTTTGATAATCTAAACTGATCTCATCCAAAAATGCGGAGTGGCAGCGTGGAGAACAACATGGCTTAAAGGTGACCTTTGAAACGCTCACACAGCAGGGAGACCTACAGGTAGCCTAATGATATAGTGTTTATTAAAGGAGATAGAATACAAATATAAACACAATTTTTTTTTTTTATAAAATACAAATCGTAATTGACAAGGTCTAAATGTTATTGTGACAAACACTCCTTCCCATGAATGTTTGCCACGGACTCCTGGAGGAGTGTGGAAGCCGGCCTCCTGCCGGCTGACAATGGTCCAGCTCTGAGACACCGTTTGGGAGTAACCATGCCCAGCCACCATTAGCAGCTTTCCCTGGGTGTCCCTGGTTTGGTACTTTCCCTTCTCACAAATGGAACTGAACGCTAGCTCTCTGGCGACCATTCACATGAACCAAACCCACAAATGGTTCTCAGCGATACTTAGCCGCGACCGCTATGGAATTAATTTTGGTATGAGGACTTTGTGGGTCCCCAGTCAACTCCGCAGGACTTTGCCGTGATTGTTATGGAACTGTTTAAAGCGTGAGGTGTCCGTGCAGTTTCCCAGCCATTTGGTCCAGGATTTTGAACCACTTGCAACCCGCCAGGAGAGCGCTTTTTGGAGGAAAGGTGCCTGAGACTAATGGGAACAAACGCTGAGAGCCAGGCGGAGCACACCATATTCCGGTTGCAGGAAGTTGACTGGCAAAAGCACCCAACATCCTGGAACTATTTTGGGCCTAGGACCACGTGTGTGCCTGGTCAGATCTTTAACACGGTTGTGTTTCCCCTACCCTGTATAGATCTAAATGCTATTTGGAGAACTTGGGCGCTCAGATCACAGCTATTTGGGGATGTATAACATATGGGGTTAATGTATGCTTTTATTATGGTTTGGGTTTTGAGACAATAAGCTTACCGGTCTTTAACGCAATTATCTCCCAGGCCCAGAGATTCCTGGGAGGGGCTTGTGTTGAATACAATGGAGACCCCCTGCTAGGGTCTGTGCATAAAAGACAGAATTGGGCTCATTAAAACCAATTGTACATTGTAATGTGTCGTCTAGTTACTGGGAGGGAGAGGGCTAATCACTGCTCAGCAACTTGTTCCAGCTTGTGAAGGATTCGGCGGGGAAAGTCCTTGTAAGGACTAGAGCTCCCCGGGCTTTGTGTCATCCAGTCACTGGGAGGGAATAGCGCTATCCCCCTATCCTGTTCCAGGACGGAGAGGCTCCAAGAGAACGGCAGTCAAACCACGGTGACTGAGGCAGACACGCTGAGGTTTCCCCGGTTGCAGCTAGGAAGCGATCCTTGGCAGAGGTATCCAGCCACGGTACAGGGAGCTCCGCTACAGTTATAATTTCCAAGTTAATTGGTACGTAATTAATTTACCTTGTTTCGATCCCTGTGGCAATTAACATTGAGGATAACAGGTTAATCCAACTGAGAATTAACAGGTACTAGAAATAACATAGCTGGATACCAACCTCTATTTGGCTATTTGGTAAATGAATGTGACCTTAGTTCATGACACTTAAAGAGTTTGTGACACTAGTCTTTTTGGTACATGTAGCGGCCATCCCATAATCGTGACAAAGCATCAATGGAACTGTAGTTCCACCCATTTTAATAGATTAAGAAGCTCCCAACATAATTCAGATACTAGATATGTTATTACAAGTCAGTAACAATGTATCTTTTTACTTATTTGCATAATAATAAAACTAATGATCGGGTATAGCAGCTTGTGGTATAATTAGCTTTTGATTTTTCGTTATCCCCAATTGTCTGACCCCTAGTGTTCATATTCAGTATTGCTGGATAACCATGTGCCCCAATTCAACATTATTTCCTCAATGTCGGTGAGTTAGAAATTTAGAAAACGTTTCCACTTTGGCGCTTATGACTTTTACTCTGCAGTTGAATAGCCCTAAGTGAAATGTGGTAAACTAAAAGCCAAACGTCAAAATTCAGAGTACTTTTTTGCCACTCAGTGACTGTTGCATAAATGTCTTCATAAAAAGCAAACAGTTATAGAACAATGAATACACATTACAAAGCATGGATTTGCACAAATGGAAAACGTGGTGCCAACGAGAGGGTAGAATAATAGCATGTTAATACAAGCAAAACAGTCACGTCTTTCACCAAACTCTGTTAACCCTCTGCAGTCCATGCGGCAGTTATTAACTGAAATTATTAAATTAATAGAAACATGGGCGAAATGAATAACATTTTATGTGATTTCCCTACCATTTATAGTATTTTATCTGAATATTGTAAGCATGCCACTGTTAGTCATTAAATGTAAAACAGAATGGACTACAAAGGCTTTACGGAAATTGGAAAAATTGTCCCCTGTTGACTTTTTGGGAACTTTCTGCACAGCCTTAGTTAACAGACATCTTAGTAGTCATAGTACTGAAACTTGTATTTTCCTAACAATATATTGTTCAAGTAATGGGTACAACCACAATAAGGTGGTCTACACGTAAGATACTATTTGCTCTTTGTTTACACGCACAACAAACTGTTTCATGTCGTCTCCCACCGCAACTTGACATAAAACCAATAAAATTGAGCAGGGAAAGAAAAATCACATATTTAAGATATTATTTGTGACCATCTGTTCTGATTGGTCTTCTAAAACTAAAGTGCATTTAAATTCTTCCTGAAAGGCTTCTAGAAATGGTGGGATTGTCTCTTCAACTGTGACATTCCTCCCCAGCTCCTGAGTCAAAGAAGTGACTCCTTTCCCAACGATTCCACAGGGAACGATGTGATCAAACCATGAAAGATCTGTGTTGCAGTTTAGGGCAAGGCCATGGGTGGTAATATACCTGGAGCAATGAACACCTGGAAAAGAATGCAAAGATGGTCAATGCTGAACAAAATGGCACATCATGTAACATTACGAAATATTCCCACCAACTGTGTTAGATCTACAGAGACTAAAGAAAATTCCACAAAATAAAAAGGGATAACCAGTGTTCTACCTGGTATGTAGAGGCAGCACTGTCCTATAATCAACCATCATTATATATGTAGGAAGACCCCTATAGTGGTACCTTTGACACTGAACTTGGGACTGTCAGAAATTGTACAAGATATTGCACATTTCAAGCCAAACTAATGGAACTTGGAAAATGTACTCGTTTTGCTATCTTTTGGCCTAAAATTTACAATTTCCTGGTCAGTTCTCAACAAAACCCACTTTAGGGAATAACCTTGTTGGGTTTTCAAACAGTCATCAATATTTGAAAAACCGGTGGGCAAACACACAAGTATCCAGTATCACAATGTAAGAAACAGTGTCTTAAACCAGCTCTCATATTTTACAAACACCCTCAAGGAGACATCCGTTACTCCATGTGCACATACCCAGAGGCAAAGCTAAAGGAAACTATATCCCAAGATCCTCTATAGACCAAATCTCGCAACACATGACAAGGAGCCCCTTTCAACAACTGTCAATAGTGAGGACTATAGTAGTTGACGACTGCATGCCACTGCTCCACCTTTTGTCAGCTACAAGCTTGCCCATAAGACAAAGTGAACCATGCTACGCATTCAGGGAGATATTACTGCAACTCAACATTGGGAGGTATGAATCCCAGACTAGGGTGGGCATCTATAAAACCTATATATTTTATGTCTGGAGCTGGGGGGGGTCCTTTGTGCCTGTGTACAGAGCAGAGCTATGTTTCCACTTCTATATAACCTATATATCCCAATAATGGAGTTACAGGGATCCCCTGGGCCCGTGTACAGTGCAGAGCTATGTTTACACTTCTATATATCCCAATCATGGAGTTACAGGGGTCCCCTGGGCCCGTGTACAGTGCAGAGCTATGTTAACACAGATATATAACCTATATATCCCAATCATGGAGTTACAGGGATCCCCTGAGCGTATGTACAGTGCAGAGCTATGTTTACACTTCTATATAACCTATATATCCCAATCATAGAGTTACAGGGATCCCCTGAGCGTATGTACAGTGCAGAGCTATGTTTACACAGATATATAACCTATATATCCCAATCATGGAGTTACAGGGATCCACTGAGTGTATGTACAGTGTAGAGCTATGTTTACACTTCTATATAACCTATATATCCCAATCATAGAGTTACAGGGATCCCCTGAGCGTATGTACAGTGCAGAGCTATGTTTACACTTCTATATAACCTATATATCCCAATCATAGAGTTACAGGGGTCCCCTGAGCGTATGTACAGTGCAGAGCTATGTTTACACTTCTATATAACCTATTTATCCCAATCATGGAGTTACAGGGGTCCCCTTAGCCTATGTACAGTGCAGAGCTATGTTTACACAGATATATAACCTATATATCCCATTCATGGAGTTACAATGGGTACATATATAATACCCCCCATATATAATACATATATAATATATATCCCATGCCCTGAGCCTATGTACAGTGCAGAGCTATGTTTACACAGATATATAACCTATATATCCCATTCATGGAGTTACAGGGGTCCCCTGAGCCTATGTACAGTGCAGAGCTATGTTTACACAGATATATAACCTATATATCCCATTCATGGAGTTACAGGGGTCCCCTGAGCCTGTGTACAGTGCAGAGCTATGTTTACACAGATATATAACCTACAGTATGTATCCCATGCCTGGTGCTATAGGAGTCTCTGAGCCTGTGTACAGTGTAGAGCTATATTTACCGGTCAATATAATATAGTTATTTATTAAAGTGTGAACTCAAAGTGAATTCCAAATGCAAGGTCAAAATAGCCGAACATTTAAAATAATTCCATGTCAGTTATGATTTCTGCTTGGCTGCACACGCCTTAAAGGACTACTAAAGTCACCAAATCTCAATTAACTGGTGTTGGTGCAATGCTCCTGTTATTTTATTAATTTTAATACTTCCGATAGGGACAGGTTTGTATTCCTAACGCTAAAGTGTTCCTTTAAATTTAAAATTCACTTTGAATTGCAACTTTAGTAAAAATATATGTATATGTTCAATGTCTGGAGCTACAGGGGTCACCTGAACCTGTGTTCACTGTATAAAGCCATATTTAGAGGACTATATAAAAACTATATCTCCTATATCTGGAGCTTTGAGGGTATCCTGAACCTGGAGGAAAAGTATAGATATATTTACATGTTTTTATTATCTATATAGCCTGTCTGTTGCTATAGGGATCCCCTGGGCCTCAAAATATAGTATATATCACATGCCTGGAGCTATAGGAGTCCCCTAACCTCTACATATAATAAATATCCCATGCCTGGAGCTATAGGAGACCCTGACCTCTACATATAATATATATCCCATGCCTGGAGCTATAGGAGCCCCTAACCTCTACATTTAATATATATCCCATACCTGGAGCTATAGGAGACCCTGACCTCTACATATAATATATATCCCATGCCTGGAGCTATAGGAGACCCTGACCTCTACATATAATATATATCCCATGCCTTGAGCTATAGGAGTCCCCTGACCTCTACATATAATATATATCCCATACCTGGAGCTATAGGAGACCCTGACCTCTACATATAATATATATCCCATACCTGGAGCTATAGGAGACCCTGACCTCTACATATAATATATATCCCATGCCTGGAGCTATAGGAGACCCTGACCTCTACATATAATATATATCCCATGCCTTGAGCTATAGGAGTCCCCTGACCTCTACATATAATATATATCCCATACCTGGAGCTATAGGAGCCCCCTGACCTCTACATATAATATATATCCCATACCTGGAGCTATAGGAGCCCCCTGACCTCTACATATAATATATATCCCATACCTGGCGCTATAGCAGCCCCCTGACCTCTACATATAATATATATCCCATACCTGGAGCTATAGGATCCCCTGACCTCTACATATAATATATATCCCATACCTGGCGCTATAGGAGCCCCCTGACCTCTACATATAATATATATCCCATGCCTGGAGCTATAGGAGCCCCCTGACCTCTACATATAATATATATCCCATACCTGGCGCTATAGGAGCCCCCTGACCTCTACATATAATATATATCCCATACCTGGCGCTATAGGATCCCCTGACCTCTACATATAATATATATCCCATACCTGGCGCTATAGGAGCCCCCTAACCTCTACATATAATATATATCCCATACCTGGCGCTATAGGAGCCCCCTGACCTCTACATATAATATATATCCCATACCTGGAGCTATAGGATCCCCTGACCTCTACAAATAATATATATCCCATACCTGGCGCTATAGGAGCCCCCTGACCTCTACATATAATATATATCCCATGCCTGGAGCTATAGGAGTCCCCTAACCTCTACATAGAATATATATCCCATGCCTGGAGCTATAGGAGCCCCCTGACCTCTACATATAATATATATCCCATACCTGGAGTTATAGGATTCCCCTGTGCCTGTTTAAAATATTTACAGATATATAAATATAACCGCCAAATCCCCTTTCTGGACAATATATAGCTATATATAAATATGGTCTAGAAATCCCATGCCTGGAGCTATATACCTTCTGTCTATTTAATATAAATATATATATTATTCTATAACCCCCTGACTGTCTATAATATATATATATATTATTCTATAACCCCCTGACTGCCTATAATATATATATATATATATATATATATATATATATATTATTCTATAACCCCCTGACTGCCTATAATATATATATATATATTATTCTATAACCCCCTGACTGCCTATAATATATATATATATTATTCTATAACCCCCTGACTGTCTATAATATATATATTATTCTATAACCCCCCTGACTGTCTATAATATATATATTATTCTATAACCCCCTGACTGCCTATAATATATATATCATTCTATAATCCCCTGACTGTCTATAATATATATATTATTCTATAACCCCCTGACTGCCTATAATATATATTATATTCTATAATCCCCTGACTGTCTATAATATATATATTATTCTATAATCCCCTGACTGCTTATAATATATATATTATTCTATAATCCCCTGACTGTCTATAATATATATATTATTCTATAATCCCCTGACTGCTTATAATATATATATTATTCTATAATCCCCTGACTGTCTATAATATATATATTATTCTATAATCCCCTGACTGCTTATAATATATATATTATTCTATAATCCCCTGACTGTCTATAATATATATATTATTCTATAATCCTCTGTCTGTCTATAATATATATATTATTCTATAATCCCCTGACTGCTTATAATATATATATTATTCTATAATCCCCTGACTGTCTATAATATATATATTATTCTATAATCCCCTGACTGTCTATAATATATATATTATTCTATAATCCTCTGTCTGTCTATAATATATATATTATTCTATAACCCCCTGACTGCTTATAATATATATATTATTCTATAATCCCCTGACTGCTTATAATATATATATTATTCTATAATCCCCTGACTGCCTATAATATATATTATATTCTATAATCCCCTGTCTACATTATTATTATTATTATTATTATTATATGATTTATTATTATTCATATAGTGTGATGTCTCTCACCGATGGCGCAGATCTTCCTCCCCCAGACCCCCCCCCCTGTCTATATTATATATTATTATTATATGATTTATTATTATTATTATTATTAATATAGTGTGATGTCTCTCACCGATGGCGCAGATCTTCCTCCCCCGGACCCACACTCCTCCCCCCTGTCTATATTATTATTATTATTATTATATGATTTATTATTATTCATATAGTGTGATGTCTCTCACCGATGGCGCAGATCTTCCTCCCCCAGACCCCCCCCCCTGTCTATATTATATATTATTATTATATGATTTATTATTATTATTATTATTAATATAGTGTGATGTCTCTCACCGATGGCGCAGATCTTCCTCCCCCGGACCCACACTCCTCCCCCCTGTCTATATTATTATTATTATTATTATATGATTTATTATTATTCATATAGTGTGATGTCTCTCACCGATGGCGCAGATCTTCCTCCCCCAGACCCCCCCCCCTGTCTATATTATATATTATTATTATATGATTTATTATTATTATTATTATTAATATAGTGTGATGTCTCTCACCGATGGCGCAGATCTTCCTCCCCCGGACCCACACCCCTGTCTCCGGGGTCCTGTCCGCCGCCAGCCCGAGGCTCCGGCAGAGGCCTATGGCGGCTCGCTCCAGGCCGGCCACGTACTCCCGCAGGGAGCGGCGGAGCGGGCCGAGGTGCAGTACCGGGTAGCAGAGCAGCTGTCCGGGCCCGTGGAAGGTGATGAGTCCGCCCCGGTCTGTGCGCTGGAAGTCGGCCCCGAGCCCCCGCAGCCTGTCCTCCTCCGGCCCCGGGTACAGCCCCCGCCGGACCCCGACCGTGTACACCGCCGGGTGCTCGCACAGGATCACCGCGCCCCGGGGACCGGCCTGGGGGGACACGGACCCGGCCTCCGCCACCTCCCGGGGGGACACGGACACGGCCCAGCGCTGCTGCACCCGCACGGCCTCGGGGTAAGGCACCAAGCCAAGCCGGACAACGCGCAGCACGGGGCGGCCAGCCGGGCACGACATCCCGGGGATCGGGCCTACTACCGGGGGAGAGAGAGAGGGAGGGAGGGAGAGAGGACAGGGGGCTGGGTGACAGAAATCTATCTATCTATCTAAACACCACGGGTTTTAGCATAGCTACCAACAGCCCCTGTGTAGGAGAGACAGTCCCTATTACTGGCCCATAATATCCCCACTATTATATCATAATATCCCCCCTATTATATCATAATATCCCCCTATTATATCATAATATCCCCCCTATTATATCATAATATCCCCCTATTATATCATAATATCCCCACTATTATATCATAATATCCCCCCTATTATATCATAATATCCCCCCTATTATATCATAATATCCCACTATTATATCATGGCCATCCCTATTATATCATAATATCCCCTATTATATCATAATATCCCCTATTATATCATAATATCCTCTCTATTATATCAAGCAATATCCCCCTATTATCATATAATATCCCTATTATAATGCTAATATCCCCCATATATCATGTAATATCCCCCATATATCATAATATCCCCTATTATATCATAATATCCCCTATTATATCATAATATCCCTATTATATCATAATATCCCCCTATTATACGCGTAATATCCCCTATTATATCATAATATCCTCCCTATTATATCATATAATATCTCCCTATTATATCATAATATCCCCTATTATATCATAATATCTCCCCATATACTACAATATCCCCTATTATACTGCTAATATCCCTATTATATCATAATATCTCCCCTATTATATCATAATATCCCTATTATATCATAATATTCTCTATTATATCATAATATTCCCCTATTATATCATAATATCCCCTATTATATCATAATATCCCTATTATATCATAATATCTCCCCTATTATATCATAATATCCTCTATTATATCATAATACCTACTATTATACCATAATATCTCCCCTTACATATAATATCCCCTATTATATCATAATATTCCCCTATTATATAATAAGTAATATCCCTCTATTATAATATAATATCCCCATTATATCATAATATTCCCTATTATATCATAATATTCCCTATTATATCATAATATCCTCTATTATATTTGCACACCTCTCTATTATATCATAATAATATCCCCTATTATATCATAATATCCTCTCTATTATATCATAATATCCCTATTATATCATATTATTCCCCTATTATATCATAATATCTCTATTGCATATAATATCCTATTATATCATAATATCTCTATTATATCATAATATCTCTATTATAATAAGTAATATTCCCTATTATATCATAATACCCCACTATTATACCATAAGATCCCCCTATTATTCCATAATATCCCCCCTATTATTCCATAATATCCCCCCTATTATATCATAATATCCCCCTATCATATCATAATATCCCCCTATTATATCACAATATCCCCCTATAATATCATAATATCACACTATTATATCATAATATCCCCCTATTATATCACAATATCCCCCTATTATATCATAATATCACACTATTGTATCATAATATCCCCCTATTATATCATAATTGTGGCAAACATAGCCACTTGGACACTATAACGAGACTGTGCCTTTAAGGGTTGCCTATATGGTTGGGAGATATGGGCTTAACTATGTTGAATGTATGCGGGTTGTATTTACATGTATTTGTTGTATTGGCTATCTGCCGAATGCAGATAGCTGTTTGTATTGGATTTTTCTTTCGTTACACGAACGACACTTTTGCGGGCCGTTCGTGAACCAAAAACACCCCCAAGTAATAGCCCACACACTTAGAGGCGTGTGGCGCTTGTTAACTGATTGCAACAATGTTGCAATCGGTAATTAGAGGCTCTCCTAGGTGGCCGCCGTTCGACTACCGACCATGCGGCAGTCGGCCATCTTGGATCCTTTGTTCCCTCAGCGGTGTTAGGTCGTCGAGCGCATGGTACTAAAAACGGCTACTCGACGGCGCGAACACCGCTGAGCCTCCATGCCGTTCGGGAGCTCCGGGCCGTTCGGTACTTTGTTCCCTGGAAGGCAATCGGTCATTTAAACATATCTTTTAATAAATGTGTTTTTCGTGCGGCGTTCGGTTGTTTTAGCTGGGATCTGAGCGGTAATCTCACGAATGATGCGCTCAGACCCCAGCTATCTACCGAACGTCCATTCGTGCAAATAGACCGTATATTACCACAGTTATGCATTTTAATATAAATTGTCGGTTCTGCTGCACGGAGGGATAATCCACTTAACGGTATATTCCAGTGGGAGGATCCCTCTCGTGCAGCAGTGCCTGATGGGAGAAATGTCTTGTACAATAAGTCCCCCATGTAGTCCCCTCTGGGACTGCCCCTGGGAAGGGACTCAGGAAACCCCTTGCATGGGGACTTGTATAAATTGTGGAGCTGAAATAAAAGACCTCAGTTGACTCTCAGAACTGTGATTTGGGATATTGCCTTGCTTTTTCCAGCGCTTGACTGTGGATTATTTCCTGAACCAGCGGAATTCGTGGATTTAATGTTGGCATTCCGCTACAATAATATCCCACTATTATATCATAATATCCCCCTATTGTATCATAATATCCCCTATTATATCATAATATCCCCCTGTTGTATCATAATATCCCACTATTGTATCATAATATCCCCTATTATATCATAATATCCCACTATTATATCATAATATCCCCCTATTACATCATAATATCCCCCTATTGTATCATAATATCCCACTATTGTATCATAATATCCCCCTATTGTATCATAATATCCCACTATTATATCATAATATCCCCCTATTGTATCATAATATCCCACTATTATATCATAATATCCCACTTCAGAGAAAAGACAGTGTTTACATTGCCCCTAGGGACACCTCCAAGTGGCCACTCCTCAGATGGCAACTGGAGGGGCTTCCTGGTTCAGTGCTGCACACTAAGCAGCCCTGCCGTTCAGCCTCCCCACGCTCTGCATGGAGACGCTGAATTTTCCTCATAGAGAGGCATTGATTCAATGCCGCTCTATGAGGAGCTCCTGATTGGCCAAAACGGCATTTGGCTCCGCCCCGTGCCGATTTTAGCCAATTAAATCTGTCATTTTGATGATGTCTCAAAGGGGGGCGAAGGCTTCCTTTTGCCTTCGTGTGACAGAGACCGAGTGATTGAAGAGTTTGGAGAAGGAGAACATGAGCAACAGTGTCAAAGGCAGCAGAGAGGTCAAGAAGAATTAGTATCGAGACAAAAGCAGACACCTTATAAAGATACTTACTTCTGAGTGAGACCTCAATATTATCAGACTTTACCTGCAGTTACTCCATCAGAACTTTAGTCCCACCATATCTGTGAGACCAACTACGTTATATTGCCCTACCTATTCACAGTAACTATTGTACCTTTTAACTATTGGTGCAGCCCTTTTCAGGAATACATGTTTGTGTTCCTGACCCTATAGTGATCCTTTAATGTAACACCTCCCCCGACTGTCAATCAAACAACCAACGTTTTCTTTTTTTTATGCTTCCCTGAGCTAACGGGAGTGTGCCTACCTCCCCACCTGCGTACCTTAGCTCAGGCCAGCTGCCACAGCTCGTGTGCACACACAGCAGACGCGCATGCACGAATAGGTACGTGCACGGAGGGGGACCTTCAGAAGCTTCTCAACGAGAAACCCCTATTCCCCGTGAAGATACTTTTTCTGGAGAAAAAAATGTGCATGTATTCATTGGGGTGTATCTACTAAACAGTGATTTCAAATGTTTTGCCCATTTGTTTCGTGGAGTGTCTCTTTAAAGTGTCTCTTTTTGGCAATTTGAAATATTGAGTGGTATGTAATTACTGCCATTTCATTCTGGTTTATTCAACACTGAATTCTAGTACATTAAAAACCTCATTGCGAAATGTAGGTAGAAAGTGCTCAGAGGGTGTTTTGTTAAATTGTGACTTGTCAGGAATTAAAAGTAGGAGTAATTTTAGTGCAAAATTTAACATACAATTTGGAACTCACGTCAAAATCCTGACAATTTATACTTTAGTGCAGGGGTACGCAGCCTTTTAGCAAAACAGTGCCGAAATAGGATTGTGATGTCCCGTAGCGTGTCGGTCCTATTTTTTTACATTGAGGTGTATATGCTGCCGTATTCTGCTTGTGTTATTTTTACTGTAATTGCTTTGTATCGTGTATTATACCTATGAATGTGGGCTGTGTATGGGGGCTACTTGTGGAATTGTGTGTGTATGTGTGTGGATGGATTTGTCACATTGTGTGTTTGGTAGTGTGTGTATATGTGGGGGCTGTTTGGGGTATTGCATGTGAGAGGCTGCATGTGCGGTTATGTGCATGTATGTAGATTGTCAGTGGTGTGTTTATGTGGATTGTGTGTTGTGTTTGTGTGTGGGCTGTTTGTATTATTAGTATGAGGGGGGGTATTCTGCATTTCTGTGTATATCTAGCAGTGTGGGTGGCTACCCTGAGTTCCAGTGGGGACCAGGCTGACCAGGTACAGGTCAAGGACCGGAGCTGCGGCAGCTGTGGGCTGCTCTGCTACAGTGTGGATTCCCATTTGCAAGTGCTGGAAGGAAGTGATCTGAGATCACTTACTCTACGTGCTGCAATGCATAAATTGAGGATTGTCCTTCACCACCTTTTCGTATTAGCAGATATCTGAAGTTTCACTGGGACTCCTGATGGGCCAGAGTCTGTTTGGTTCTAGCAGCCTTTAGTGCCGTAGGTTGCCTACCCCTGCTTTAGTGAATAACATTGCTGGGAAAATCCTTTAACTTGGTTATCAAATCTTGAAATTTGCAAATCGTTTTTCATTTAATTACAGTTCAAAGGGTTCACAAAGCTTCTTATCTCATCAAATTCAAATGTTACTCCATGTCACTGATCAAAGTGGTCATGGTGCCTGGAGTCTGTATGTGCAGCTATGAAAAGCCGCACATATAATGTTTAACCCCTCTGATGCAGAAGGTGTAATTACAACTCCGGTATCATCATTGGGGCATCATTACTAGCCAGCTAGGGTTGATGAATGTTGATTCTGTGGGCGCAGATCACTTTAAGAGCTCCCTTGCGGTCCGGGGGCTGCCAATGACTCAGAGCTCAGGCTATGGAACATTGAGAAGCACAGGGGGAACGGGAGTGTGTTGGGCGACTGCGCACCGGGGAATAAAGGTGAATAAAACTCTTTTTTAGTGGATACGGTGGGGAGGGGCGGCAGAAATACATGTATTACTAAAGCTAGTGTATTCCTTTGACGCCATCTCTTCTATGATCATCCCTTCCCTGTATTATCACCTCTTCTTTTCAGGTACTGACCTGATACATTCAACTCCTCTTCCAGCTTTTTGTGCCTTATTTTCCATTCTTCCGTATCTCCATTCCATCCCCTCCGTTACATTGCTCTACCGACCTTTCTTTACCCTTTATTTTTTCCCATGTTCTCCCATTTTTTTCCCACTTCTTTCTCATTTTTTCACTTCATGTCTTTTATACTCTCCGGGTCACTCTTTTTTCTTCATCATTGTTTTCTCCCTATCTCCCTATTGATTGATCAGCTGCCATTCCCGCTGTTGTCCTTATTCCTTTTATCAGTTTTTTTTCCTCACCCTCCTCACTTCTTCTCATTGCATTCTATACTGCTCTCTATTATCCCTTCATATTTCTTCCACACCGTTTCCTTCTTTACTCTGCTCTCTGTAAATTCGTTGTCCCTATTTCACTTTCTCTCATTTTCCTCTCTTACCTCCCTTCTCCCCTTTTCTAGTGCACTTTTCCTCCTTTACATTGTTCTCTCCCTCCTCTCTTCCATGCTGCCATTTGTCTTTGTCCATGTTCACCCTACTTCCACCTGTCTCCATCCCCACTGTTAAATGAACCCCTCTCTTTTGCACTGCAATCCTTTTCATTGTTCTCACCTATTTTCATTTTACTCTCTTATTCTTTTGGATCTCTTCAGTTTTGTTTCCTTAATCTTTTCATACTTTCTCCCCTTTTCTCCTATTTTCCATGTTTTCTTTTTCAATCCGTCACTTATTTCACTGCTGGTATAATATCTCTACCCCTCTTCTGCTTTGCTCTCTCCATATCATTTTCATCTTGTCTCTATTCTTCTTCCCCTCTTTTCCATGCTTTCCCTGTTTTAAGAAATCAAATGTTTTAAGTTGTCTTATTTCAATATCAATTAAACACATCTCAAGACTTCTAATGTAGCAATCTCCTTTTTGCATGACTCACAGACCACGTTTCCTCACCCACATCATGGTGGCTGATGTCCTGCTAACATTTCCTCTGTAGTTTTTGGCTTTATCAGCTGTTGTGCTTTGTCTATGTATAGTACCTTGGAAAACAAAATATATCAAACCATAAATAGCTCAAAACAGGATGTATTCTTATTTTCTGACATCAGTAGAGACATTTTCAGGCAGTGTTGGTTTTGGTAGAAGCTATGATTATCTTGGAATGTGGAATCCTCTTTATGTTATGATTGAGTTGTTTATAGGTTTTGAAGCATTGTTGGCTTACATTGGAATTATTGGGAACTACACTTACAATTATTCCCAGTCAGTTTAAAGGATCACTATAGTGTCAGGAAAACAAACTTGTTTTCTTAACACTATATAATCCTTAGGTCCCCCCATCCATCCGGGCCCCCCTACCGCTGGGCTGAAGGGGTTAAAACTCCTCCAGCCACTTACCTGAATCCAGCACCAGTGACCTCTCCTCTCCCTACGACGTCAGCTCCCGAGTGGAGCCGAATGCGCATTAAAAATGCCTGTAGGAAAGCATTTCTTAATGCTTTCTTATGGACGTTCTGCGTGCTCAATGCGATTGACAGTCAATGAATCCAAGGCATGCCATCACTGTGACTGAAACCCTGGCCGATCAGACAGCCTAGGAGATAATCATTTAATATGCAGCCAGCAACAGTCCACTACATTGTGATCACAGTAAGCACCAGGTACAGAGCATCCCACAGTATAGGCTGAAATACATTGTGACAGCTTGTTATAATGTTTTGATTCTGGTAGCAGCAAACCTATTTCTGGCTGTCTCAAGTTTGATCAACACTAACCACCAAAGATGCCATAATTGCAGAGTGCAACCAGTTGCCGTGGCATGGCGCTGTTTGGATGCATTCGTTAGACTCAGAGGGGCTATTGCTGGATACCTTCATTAGTGGGACCTGTAATCTAGGGGAACTTTAAATGACTGTCATACGCTGTAAGTAACATGCAGGGTACAGACACCCTTATTTATTGTATACAATATATCACTGTTGTACCATTAATTACAATTAAGTGCTTGGACACGAAACATGTTGAGTTGAGCATTTTTTGTTAGTCTTTTGTATTTAACAAGAATGAGAAAATTTTATAATTCTTTATTTTTGTTCGTGCATGAGGGTAACAAGCGAATTTGTACTGCCACAATAGCTGGTACAGTCGAGTTTGCATACATTCTTAATCACATGGCATTAACGACATTGCACTTTTTTTTTTTTTAAAGTAGTTATATAAACAAGATAATATCGTAAACTTAGTAGGAATAGCAAATTAAAGACATAGACATAGAGAAACAGTTGTGTGTCATATTAATTTTGCCTAGTTTCATGGGTTAATACAGGAAGGTAGGAGCATGCTAAGTCTATTGAGGCTATGGAGTGTTATGCAGGCTGAACGTTGTTCTTATACATAGCCCTAGAAAATGTGTGTAGAGGTTGTGCTTTGTTGAAAGCTTGGCACATGTGTATACTAGTGTTGTTAGTCAATAGGGGTACATAATAATTGCAGTATGTTAGCGTGTAAGTTGTAGGACATAGCTTATGAGCATATGTGTAAAACTATATTTCTCAGTGGAACAAGGAAAACGTCCTTAATAACAAGTAGGGACTGTTTGAGGCATAGAGTGAATGACTCATCTGTGATTTCAAATGTCCCGGTCAGCCAACACCTGCTAGGGGTATGTCACAGCCATATGTTTTGCCGCCTCTCGGGGGGGTGAGTGGACCAAGCACTCCCGTTCGTTGGGCATCGAGTTGGCTCCGTGCTGCCTCCATGTTCCCTGATGACTTGGAGTGGTGAGTGGTCGGGAGTCCCGTGTGTGCCTTTAGCCCCGGGGGGCTGCTGTTCTGATATGGAACCTGCCTGAGTGTGCTAGGCCAGTTCTTTGAGCGGACTTTTCGCGGGTGAGAGGGGTGGTGATGGGGCAGCCCTGGAGATCGTCTCCGTTGAGGCTTTGGGCAGCTCACCGGTAGCCTAAGAGTCGGGCGCTGGGTCTTACGACGTTTCTTCCGCCTCTCACCCCCTGCTATCTCGATCGTTCTCGGGTTCTGCACCGGAGCCGCAGGCTGCTGTGTAATGCCTTTTGTGGCTGATGCCGGTGGGACTTGTGCCCGGGTGTCTCCGCGGCTGGCGAGTTTGGCCCAGAAATCGTTAAATAGGCGGTCTATCCGCTCCGACAGTGGAGGCAAGCTGGGCTTGGATGCCGGGATCCACGTGGTCTCCGCCATGCCTTGTGTCAGCGGTCCGGTGGTGCAAGGTGGCTGCACTCGATTTCTCCGTCCTGATCCACATGCTTTGGTTGCCGGGATATCCCTCACCGGCAGGGGGGGGGGAGAGAGGAGTGTTCCGGAGAGACCTCCTTTGATACAGGCTACAGTCGGCTGAGGGATCGGCCGTCTCCCCCATGCTTCCTGAGTAGGCCTCAGGTAGGCCTCAGGTCCATCCCCTGGAATCGGTCGCATTTTGCGGTCCCCTGCTCGGTTATGCCTTGTCTCGATGTTAAGCCCCAGTGTCTGGAGTGTAAAAAGCTTGAAATTTGCAGGGTTTTGCTTGTTTTTCAGGTTATGTAGACAGGAGCTCTGCTGAGGTGCGACCGCTCAGCTTGGCTGTCAGGCTCCGCCCCCCCAAGAATGAGAAAATTTTAGTGTAAATATTGAAGTTCCCACTCTGTTTTGTGGATGGGAGCTACCTATAGGCTCCTATACCGGGGCTTACTTATAAAAGCCTCTAATTGCAACAGATGTAGCTGGGCACAGATGATGGGCACCAGGTTTGAGGTACACCAGAGATCCGGGGCCTCCTCGCATTATAACAATTTCATTCTGCTGAAGTAGTTAAGGTGCCTGAAGTGATCCTTTAACTGAAATACACCTTTTTAAATATTTTGTAGTAAAATGCAAGATTTATTTTTATCTATCTGCCTGACTGCCTGCATGCCATTCCATTTTACAGCCTAGTAAATCACAGCTATGTAATTACCATTGATGATGATGCTAAATAGGCCGTTGTGCCTTATTCCTGCTGGCAAAATGAATGGAAATGAAGTCCCCAAAGAGGTTACTGTTTACTTGAATTGAATAGTTCCTTTGAGTATTTATTTCCTGCCCTATCGCTCATTACAAGGTCCTTATTTACAAAAGTATATTTAGAATCTGCACATGTCCAATATATCTTTCTTTCATATCTTTTCTGCATCTCTCCTAGTCAGGAAGACAATACTCGGTGGGATCCGGTAAGCTCTTATTTGAGTTATTCGATCATTTTACAGTACGCAAGACAACAAGCAACAAACATTTCCACAGTACCCAACATGGCGAGAATATGAATAATGACAAGAATACCTTGAGTGGATTTTCTCTGCTACAAGTTTTCGAATGTATTATCCAAGTATTCTGTATTTTTACAAGTTACACTTTGAGTATTAGTACTATAACATGACGCTATTTTCTTTAACACCTACTACATTTATTTGAAAATCACTGAGAATGCAAACAATGTTTGAATATTACTGATAAAAACTCTAATGGGACAAAACGAGAATAACAGAAACTAGTGAAAAATAGAGAAAAAATGCATAATTTTCTATGGACCCAGAAAGACTTTATTATTATTAGCATTTATACAACGCACATATTAAAAAATGATTTTTATTATGTTTACATTATCATTCTCGCTTCTTTAATAGTTATTTGTTACCTTTTTTTTTTGTTAGGTATATTTTATTAATTTGCTGTTAGAATTTTTTAGTAATACCTTAATCTACGATTTTAGGAGTGGTCGCTATTTTAATTTGTAAAATGTTCACGCTGTAACGAATAAATGTGTAAATCTGTTAGTAAGTGATTGTGGGTTGGAAATATGTATACCTCGTGTGTTTTTACTATTTTCAGACTAATACAATGTCAGCAGCACTTCAACACCTATACATTTTAAAACACTTTGATACGTCTTTCTTTTCCTGTTCCATTTTCTTCTCTAAGATTTGCAACTAAAGGGTACATCACAATTGTTAAGGTTAGTATGCACACCCTACAGACAGTGCGTAAACCTATGTTAATCAGGAACAAAGGATTATTACCAGACCTTAGAATGTCCGGCTTAAAGTGGCACTGTCATTGACGCATCTGTTGTTTTTTTTTTAAACTCCCCCTCCCCCCCCCCATCCTCCTGCTCGTCAACCCCTAAAGTCTCTAGATCCTACACCTCACCTTTTTCTTAACACTTTATTGATTGTCTGGATCTATATCCTAGGTGCCACCATCTTAGTGTGGGTAGATGAAGGCCCTGCAGGACATGTCATCTGCTCACACTAGCTAGAACTGTGCAATATCCGCGCATGCCCAGTTTAATACTTGGGCATTTGCTATTGTCTGAAAATTGAACAGGAATTTGGGCTATTTGTTCATTCGTCAGAAAGATGAATGAATGAATAGAAATTACAAAGAACAAGCAAAGACTGAATTTCAATTTCACTTATTATAAGGAGGGAGCTACCTGCTCACGGCTCCCTCCCTGTTATATGTAAAAAGAGAAGCATCAGGGAGCTGTGCTCCCCTCCACTTCCTAAACCCCCCCAAAATATGACCGCCATATTTTTATAAGGGAGATTAAAATCTCCCTCCTGCCCCTACTTGCTATACTGTAAGTAGGGGCACTACCTTGAAAGTGTGGAGCTCGGCTAGGATAAAAGCTTATCCTAACCACAACTCCGGGACCACTGACTCCAATATTCTATAACCCTGAAGTTGCTGGTGGCCTCACACCTGAAGACATCAGCGTCTTTAGTGTATTTGATTGGACTTACATGCGCCAGTGGTGCACCTTGGACGCAATAACGCCGCTTCTGGATTTACTGCCAAGCAGGACCAAAATGGGTTTGGAGAGATTCCGCTACTTCCAAGTTAAATCGTACTACACTTCCTAATATGGACGACATCTATTTCACAGGAATCCAACAGAGTTTAAGGAATTGTGCAGGGCACTGGCACACCTACATAAGGGTATCTCGGTGTTGTATACATTACTTCTATCATCCGTTCCGTCCAAACCCATGATACATATTACGTGCTGGGAACGAGTCACGGGTGCTACTCTCTCGGACCCTTAGTGGGCAAAGATCCACATACTGACCCACCAGAGTTCTATCTGTTCCAAACAACAAGAACTTAACTGCAAGTTACTGATTGGGTGGTACAGGATGCCAGAGAGATAACACCATATGCTTCCTGAGGTCTCTGAGACCTGCTGGAGATGTGGGCAAGACGTGGGTTCTGATCTCCACATTTGGTGGTCATTCTGAAGACTGGTTCCCTTTTGGGCCGCTGTACACAAAACGATTAAAGACATACTGGATACTGACCTCCACTTCAAGCCTCTCCAGATGCTCCTTCGTCACACTACAATGCCTCTCTCGAAATATATGTCACTCACCAAACATTTTCTAAATGCTGCCAAACCACTGATCCCAGCTAGATGGCATTCCATCGATGAGCCCACCCTCCAACAGTGGATGGAAAAAGTGGAGGAGATCCTTGAAATGAAAATGCTCACGGCGTCCTTGAGGGGTAGCTTGGGGCACGGAGGTGAACGCCGTGGATAGACTTCCTGTCTCAACGACAGACTTAGAATGGTTAATCCAAATCTGCAATTTAGGAAGAGAAATGGTGTGGAACGGACAGGGAGAAACTATTTCTATGTGTCCTATTATTTTTTAAACTTTCTCTCCCATCCTCTGACTTCTATCTTTCTCCCCCTTCCCACATAATCTCCCACCTCTATTCTTCCTACTTTAGTTTGTGTTGTTATCTCTCACGCTTGTGTTGGAGATGAGATTGCACATTCAACACCAGAGATGAGATTGCCCATTAACGTGGGTGCTATGAAACTAACTAGGAGACCTAGTGTCATCCCCGCCCCCCACTCATGAGCGGTGGGTGGGGACACTAAATGACTATGGATGGTGGTGAGTACTCCCCGACACCAGCAATTGCCTGCTTACTGTTTAGTAGACATGCAGCTACTCACGGCATAACGAGTAGACCAATTTTGGTCTTTCAGCTTTGTAGTAGATAGCTCCCTAATACTGTCTTCCTCTTTTTCCTTCACTGAATCTTTTTTCCCCACTTTGTTCCTCCCTTTCCAATTCTATCCTTCTTTTTAAAGGGGAACTGGGAACATTTAATCTGATTCTTTCTTTTCTTTTTTGCTCCCACCCTAAAATAAATCTATAGGTTCATCTCTTTGGTTCAACGCGTTCATCTCTTTGTATCTCACAGTGTCCTCATTATTAGATTCCTGTCGACGTCTTCCTTGGGATCTTGAGTGTTGCTCATCTCTTAGGTCTTTCCATTTATCAACATAATTCTCTTTCTTGTTGGAGTTGGATGCTTATAGTTTCTTTTCTGCTGATCATGATGGCTATTTCCTTTGTCTCTTACCTTCCTTCTAGATTCTTTAAAGTTATTTGGCCCATTTTTCAACCTTCCATCATAAGTTTTATTCTTGTTTTGGCTTCCATTCCCCTTCTTTCTTTGCTAGATCCTAATGTATTATTCCATCTATCCTACTCAAACCTTCTTCTTGAGAATGTATGGACTTGGTTTTCCTGATAATCTCTCTTATCTCTAAGGTATTTTTCTTTTTTATCGTAATGTCCTGTTTTTCTACCTTATTCATTTCCTCAATAATTTTCTCTGAATGTTTCTGTATCTCTCTAGATTCCCGAAAAGGTTTCAATAGATCTTTGATCTCCTTAATGTTATGATCTAATTCCCTTAGATTAGTCTGACTCCTTTTGATAAAAATGTGCAACAAACCAACTGATACCTGGTTTAGATAGTGATCCCACTCTCCCATAAATTCTTCACTATCCCTATCAAAAGTGGGGGTCTTGTTGAATCTGAATCCCCTAGATGCCAGTCCCTCCTTTATTTACTGTTCCAATGTGGCAATCTCCCACTTAATTTTCAGTTCCCTAGTTAGTAATTTTTGTAGATCTTAACATAAATATGGTATTTTGGGGGGAATTGTGGGTGTTACACATTGTAGCTCTTCACTAAAATTGTCACCCAGATTGGAACAGTATTTACCATGTGCTTCAAAAATGGACATATTGGACTCTCGGCAAGCCTCACAAGACACAATAAGTGCAATTGATAATAAAGTGCTAATAGTGTTCAATTAGTGCAATTTACAATAAAGTGCATTTAGTGTTTTAAATTGACAAAGTGCACAGAGCAAAAAAAAAAGTAGAAGCGCTTAAGAATAATAAAATATGTGCCGTAGAGCTGCACTACCCCAAAGTGACACTGCGTGACACACAATAGAAAACAATACCAAAATACGGAGCACGCTATCAACTGCAGTAAATACAGTATTTCCAAATCTACAATCTGTAATAAATCATAAAAATATATAGAGCAGACTATCTGGTAAATAAACATGTGCGATTCGTTTCCTTCCGAATGTATATTTGGACGAATTTCATGCCAATGAATGTCCGAAGTTCAGTAGTTCGGAAGTGCCGAAGCTCCAAAGTTGTTCAGACTTCTGAAAAGTGGCAAAACAAGAGAGAGGGAGGCAAAATTACATGAATGCTGACAGCTAATTCCTTTTGTGCAATGTAATGCTTGCTTGCCCAATCCGGTTTTACTATTCCCTGTCCAATTAAATGAGCAAATTTTTGTGATTGATTTTAGAGGGCAGTCAATTATTATTATTAGTGCCATTTACATAGCGCCAACAGATTCTGAAGCGCTTTACAATATTGGTGATTTTGTCACTGACACTTGGCCATTGAAGGCACACAGAGTCATTGAGGTGGGATAGTATATAAATCAGGCTGTCAGCTTGCATTCATGTGACCAGTAGACACGTGCAATTCGTTTTGTTCCGAATGTACATTAGTATGAATTCCATGCCAATCGGACCTTCGAATGCTTACGGAAAGCTAAGGGAGTAGTTACACCCTCTTTGACTGAACTGTTTGCTGCAAAATCTCTACCTAATGTAGTATTATGGCTGTATAGACGAGTATAGTCCGATAATTTTTTATTTTATTTTTTTATATATATGTTCGTAACATCTTTTCTATCTCATTTCTTCTTCCTCTTTTGCTTTGAGATGTTGTCTGAGATATTGTCTGGCCATATCTGACAAACATCACTCTCATCTTTATCTGGACATTATCTCAGTGACGCTGGAATCATTTAACACTGATGTCTGCTCCTCCATATTGTAATGTTTTACCATTTGAAATTCGTATAAGAATAACGTCATATATATTCTGTATTCTCGTATTTCCTCTGGCTCTGGTTCAAGTTCAAATATTTGTTTATTTTGCAAAATAATTCAACCCCAAATTTTGCCAGGATTGGTTTTTAGAGTTGAATAATAGGGCCAAAGCTGATAAATCTGTGAGCTTAGTCTTTGCACAATGGGTTTACTTGCAGAACACAACACAACGAATCATCAAATGGAATGAGATTCGCAGGTATTGAGAAAGTACAATTAGGATGGAGAGGAGGTGACTTAAATCAAACCCTTTTAAAGAGGGAATGCTACTGGATCTATAAGTTTGATACTCTGGCTCCAAAAGGTCTAAATTATGGATTTACATTCACACCCTTCAT